TCTGGATGAGATATTCGTAAAATATGGCGACTACTTGGTTTATGTGTGGCCTCTGCCACAAATACCTGCTTTGGCTTCGAAATACATGCTTGTCTTCGTAGCTTTGAACCGCTACGTGAGTGTTTGCAAGCCTCAATTATTCGCCAGGTCATGTTCAATTGCCCAGTGGCGAGTTCGCGTCAGAGTGATGATCATGGCTGCCGTCGTGTACACCATACCAAGGTTTCTAGACTTGAAGTCTGTTGGCTACTACCCGTGCAGGAAGGGGAGCGGTGACAGGTGCTTCAGAGCAACCTACAAGGGCTGGCCTCACATGTATTTTCTATTTTATCACACTATAAGTTTTCTTCTTTTCTTTCATCTTATCCCACTGTCTATGTTGATTGGATTTAACTATAAACTTATACAAAAGGTGAGGAAAAGTGTGCAAAAACGCGAGGATCTTGCTGTAGGGAAGAATGACAAGAGAAAGCGTCTACAGAAGGAGTTGACTCTGGTTGTCATTTTGTTAGTGACAACATATATCATTTGTGTAACGCCGGTAACTACTGTGCAATTTTTCAGACTATTCAAAGAGTTCTTGCCGAAACAAGTGAAGGCTTACTTGCAGTACATGCAAACAATAACAGCTTTTCTTGGTATAATTAACTCCTCGGCGAACTTCTTTTTCTATGGTCTCTTTAGTTCTTCTTTCTGCAAAGAATTAAAATTTCTTTGCTGTGGCAGAAAGTATAAAGACAAGGAAGTAGAAATGTCACCCCCGGAAGAGCCCACCTCCGATCGAGGTCGTATATAGCAAATGGCGTTTCATGTGCTGCGTGTTTTTATATCTATTTATTGAATATATATTGAATAATTAAAAACAGGTCTGATGAAATGTTACAATGTAAATCGTAAGCTAAATAAATAATAATTATACCGCAATTATTATTATAATCAAAGTGGTATTCTGGAAACCAAGTGCCTCTAAGCTGCAAGTGGGGCGTGTCACACTTAAACTGTAGATAATTAGGAAAATATGGAGATCTAAATAATGCATATAAAACTTGTTTTATGACTTGAATTCAGAAATGGTTTAATGATGAATTCAAAGAAAGAATTGAAAGAATCAATTTTCTTTACTACAAATACAAATAATATATGTATTATGAATGGTTCGGGAACACATTCTACATTAAATGTCGAATTTGTAATTTGTATTTACAAAAATATCAATGTTTAACTTCCGTTGTTGGACTTTGTTTTTTAGGCTAGATATCAACCACTTTAGCCCCTTTAACTCGGGTGCCCGCAATGTCCTTTACATTATGTCAAAGAATCTTAACCCTGCATTTATAACAAGACGCAGTGGCACCTATAAAAGAAATCCAACTGAAGACATAAGATTATTGGATAAGAATTCTTTATCACAGGCTATTACCCAGCATACGAATAAAAAGCGGTGGTGGGCAGATTTATCCAGTCATTCCAATGTAGAAGTTATACGCAGCGGACTTCGAATAACACTTCTATATCTTTATTACTTCTGTTACCTTCACTACACTGGACTGTAATCCTGCTACGAATGAATATACGCAATTTATGGAGTTTGCAGTAAGTTTGTCTGAGAATTCTTCCATTGGGGAAGACATGACAATGACTTCACAAGTGCCTGTTGTGGTGTGGTCGGAAAATCCGTTTTTGACCAATATGGCCGCCAATTCTAGCCATGGACTCGGAACTACCACACAGGACGGGTTTATCAACAACACTTCTTTCAGTGAAGATATAAACTCACTCGCCTTTGGTTTTAACTTGTATAACTTAGTACTTAGCGGTATAGTGCTGACTGCAGTTGGTGTAATCGGGTTGGTTTGTAATCTCCTGGCATTCATTGTATACGCAAATGAAGAAAGGAAGGCACCTGCAGCACATTGCTACCTGTTCAAATGGCTGGCCTTTTTCGACAATTTATTCATTTTCTGGATGGCCTCTATGTACGGAACGATAACTTTTGGCGCTTATACCGGGTATTTCGGAAACTACATGTTCAGATACGGAAGCTACATGGTGTATATTTGGACCTTGGGAACAATAGCGGCTTTTGCCTCAAAGTACATGCTTGTCTTCGTTGCTGTGAATCGTTACCTTGCAGTTTGTAAACCTGATTTGGCTGGGAAATATTGCTCTATTTCTCAGTGGAGAGTGCGCGTTTTCATCATGTTTTTAGTTTCCATTGTGTTCAATATGCCGAGATACTTTGATCTAGAATCAGTAGGGTACTTCCCCTGTGGCAAAGTGAAAAGTTTTGGGTTATGTTTTAGAACTGTGAACAAAAAATGGCCACAGTGGTACTTTCTCTCTTACCGCACTATTTTTCAACCGGTTTTCTATCATTTTGTACCTTTGTGTACACTTATTGTATTAAACTATAAATTGATACGTAAAGTGAAGAAAAGCGTACAAAAACGCCAGGAACTTTCCGTGACAAATGACAGACGACAACGTTTGCAGAGAGAGCTGAATAGGATTGTCATCTTGTTGGTTGCAACGTATATCATTTGCATAACTCCGATAAATGTTTTCCCTCTTCTACAACTTCTCAAAGACGCGTTGCCAAAGCAGGTGCTTGCATCTCTGAAATATTTCCAGCCCATCGCCTTCTTCCTCGGCGAAGTCAACTCATCTGCGAACTTCTTCATTTATGGGTTGGTCAGCACTTCGTTTCGACAGGGACTGAGATCGCTCTTCTGTCGTTGTGAGAGCCAAGACGCTGACGCTGAAAATGGACAAATCCCTTCTTCTGTGTCGGGGCGTTTGTGAATTATAAGTAGTTCTTAAGCGTCTTGCGGTGCCTTTCCCATGTGGCCTTTGAGAAAGTGGACAAATATGAAAAATCAACAACTGTGAAAACATTGTACATCACGCTGTGTTTATTTTTATAACAATGGAATTTTTTTAATTTTAAAGATGTACATATTTTCTATTACTTTATTTCTCATAATCAAAAACTGATAATTAACGAATTTGCCTAGGGTTAACGGCATTTTTCTCCGATCAAAACTGTATCAAAATGGTTGACATGCAGCGAGGTTGGTCTGTAGATGGCAAATTTGATTAATTTTTTTTGCAACATTAATACATGGCACTTGTCTGTTAAATATTACCAAAATATCACTTGTCCTCAGAAAGAAGTGGTTTATGTACCAAACCTGTCTTTTATATCTTACTCTTTGTCACTTGCTTTAGTACTTATTAAAGTATCTATATTATCCTGTTTTCTATTCATGATATTGCCGCGAAAGCCCTACCACTCCAACATGTTAAAATGGTAAAATCATGTATAATACATGAAACTAAAATATTTTCCATCACGCGCAGTGTAATTCTTGAAGTAAACGGCTTGGGATATGTCTATTATTTTTGTCTGCTTTGTTACACAGAGTGTGTCACATACTGATATGACAATCTAGACATGAATAACAGGGGTCGACCTCTACACTGGCACGTGCACGGTTGAAAAGCCACGTGTCTCTAGGTCGCGATTACGGCGACAGAGTACTAAGAGGGTGGGCGCGTCATGTAGCAAGGTAGGGTGCAATCAAGCGTTTATTACCTGAAGTTAGAATTAGCACTGGCTTTCGTTTATATGCCTCAAAGTGTAGCCTTTTAGACACAACATAATTATCCGTGCATGTTTTGAAATATATATAAAACAATACCGCCATGTTTCTCACCTTTATTTTACAAGTCAACTTTGCGGTACATCAGACCGCTCATTTGTACAGGAAGCAGACACCTTTCAAGTCCATTTTCATCTGTAAGTTCTTTTGATTCACCAGCATCTTTCTGCGGCCTAAATATGAAACTTTACATAATAAAACTCAAGTCCAGCATCTTTCTGCGGCCTAAATATGAAACTTTACATAATAAAACTTAAGTACCACTGGTCGTGATGGTGTCCATGATGTCTATTTTGCTACAGTATCCACCTCGTATTATACAGGTGTCGTGTACTGAAGCGCCCCCTGAGCTCCAAGACCCGGTGTAACGAAACTGAGGGTCCGTTTAAGAGCAAGTCCACCCTCCATTTAGTTATAATGGTTAGGGTTAGCCTGACCAAAGCGGGTCAAAATCTAGGGCGAGGCTCACCTGTACAAATGAATGAAAAGCAGATTTTCTATCACTGGGGACTCAAGTTACGTTACACCGGTTCCCATTGATTTTTACAGGTGTGTCCAGTCTTAGATTTTGATCCACTTACGTCAAGATAGCCCTAACCTGTATAGACACAATGGAGGGTGGACTCTGTTACACGGACCATATTTGTGTTTCTAAATAAGGCAATTTGCTTGGTTCTAAAAAAATCACATTTACATATTATTGTGATGTAAAGAATTGCGACAAACCACATGATACCAAAGATATCTTTCTATACAAGTTTCTCACATGATTACTGCAAAATAATAAAAAATGTCTAACTGAAGTAGACCACAGTAAGTTGTCTTGTAAATTTATCGCTTTCTTGGATAACAAAGTTACAGAAAACTGAACCATATTCTCCAACTGCATAATGTGGCAAAAATACTGGAAATATAAGAAAAGCTGAAAAAAAAGGCTGCAGTAGCAGGGTCAGGGTGATAACCTACATACCACAATTCACCAATTTTGTTTGTTTTTGGTTTTGAATTCATTGCTGACAACATGATAAAAAAAGATCTACATGTATGTGTGTGAATGGAATAGCATAAGATGATGCCCTAGCCTAGATACCATAAAAATAGTAAGTCAATAAATAAAAACAGTTGAATAAAAATTACTGGTTTCCTAAATGGATAGAATCACAGGCAAGGGAACCTTTCAAATTCCAGCTAGTTAAAAATGAGAGAAAAAAGGTGCAGTCGTAAATATGAAGTTGTTTGCATTGCTCCCAACAGGTGGCGACACTGTGCCCAGTGATATTTTTGACAAAACAATAGTGCCAACAATTGCATGATTTTCTACATGATGTTTTTTTTACATGATTTCCGTACAACAGATTTCTTTATACAGATGGCAAACAAACCAGATGTAAGAATCATCTTAGCAAGTTTAAAAGGTAGTTTTGCAACTAGTGCTCAGTGATACAACCTTACATTCAGTATTTATACAATAATCCTGGAATACATAAACTTTCCTATGCTAGTGGCACATAATTTATTATCCTACAAATACTGTCTTAAATTTTTCAAAACAACTGCTTAAGTGATAATTTAATACCTCCAAAATAATTTTATAAAACCAGCAAAAAATTCATCATTTTGGATTTTATGGAAAAATGTTACCCAAAATAAATATATAATGACTATACAACTAAGTATTGCTTACAGAATTCATTTTAAATGAACATAAATAATTTGTGCTAAACTTAAAAAAAATTCTGAATGAGCTTCATCTACCTTCCAGCATATCAAATTTTCTAAATCCTCACAGTATTTTAATAGAACATGTCAGGGCTTTTTTTGTTTTTAATTTTTTTTTATGTGTGTGAAGACTGTCATGTCCTCCTCTGTTTCAATGACCTCAAGTTTCCCTGTCAAACACTTGGCCACCACACTCAACGTCTTCTCAGTGAAACCTTATGACATATCTTTCTATCAAAACATGGTTCCTAACACAGACAATTAATCATCCAAACTTCTTCAGTGAAGCCAGCCCGCTGCACTTAGTCTGTGTCTGTTTTTTTTTCTAGAACCTAGCTGAAGCTGAAGGATAAGACTTTCTTTCCGCAAAAATCTCTGGCCATAAAAGTTAGCTTGGATTAAGTCCAGCATCAGTCTCAGATTTAAAACCCATTCTCATGGAAATCTAATGATCTGTTGGCATCTTCCAGTTAAGACCTTGTCTTAATCCAGGCCTGTTATTAGGATTGTTGTCCTGGTTTTGTTGTAATCATCAACATAACCATTTCTTAGCAGGTGACATGCCTGCACCTAAATCCCTCTTTTACCATAGCACCTGCCATGTTTGAATCTCAATTTCCTAACATAATCTTAATTTCAAACCTTTTTTTGTGAAAGCCCGGAAGTTTTAGTATTGACTACTACAGTCTGACTTAATTGCACAACCATCACACTATCCATAGCATGCCAATATCTTAATTCCTTGTACAGTGTTGGGTCCTGTGCTATAATGCCCTTTTCATGCCCAGCATGGTTTACAATCAGTCTTTCCCAAGACTGTACTTGGATTTCAGTCATGACTGCATCTGAATGTCTAATTACATCACAAAGTCTGTCATGGTTGTAAATTTCTATATTACTTGCAAATAAATTCAACCTGTAAAGACTGAATGATGCTCTTTCATAAATACACTCCTCTCGAGTGATGTCGATAGCATTTTAAGTTCTTACAGCCAGATTTCACTATATTTCTTGCCGAGGAGCACCTATTTACCAGTAATAACACATTTACTCTCTGCACTGCCAACTACACCACTGTTTTGTTCAAGCAGCCACGTCAATTTTTCTTCAAGAATCTAAAGGAGGTTGTCACCTTGGAAAATGCCTTGGAGAACTGAAATAAAAATAATTCATTGGAACATAAAACTGACCACTCTAAACAATACTGCTACTGTTAGTACTGTATCTACCACTACTACTGCTAATAATAATAATGATAATATGTGTTTATGAAATTCTTTGAAATTATCATATTAATGAGCAGATTGTCAATGTTGATCAGTACTTGCATTGGGCCAAAGAAATAACTACGTTAATTTAACTTCAGCACCATGCATACTTTTTCAGTTGTTTTCTTATCAAGAATGAATACAGCAATGCCAACACCTCTGTGTGTGTGTGTGTGTGTGTGTGTGTGTGTGTGTGAATATGTGGTGCATGTGTGCGTGCATGTGTAATACATATCATGTATATATTTATTAAAAAACTTTTTACCATGAGTTTTACACTCTATCTCTATTAGGTAACTAACCTTGGGACTCCCCTTGGGGTCTTGTTCAGTGCCCATACTGGACAGACTAGAGCTACTCCCTGGACTGGCTAGAGATACTGGCTCCTTGGAGGCCCCCTCTTTATATAGACCCTCAGGGTGCTGGAACAGACAGAACTCTGGCGCTTAGTACAGGTGGAGGGGGGGGGGGGCATCATTCTTAAGCTTGGTTAAATAATATTGTGACCACTTGTGTATCAAGTGTGTGTGTGTGTGAGAGAGAGAGAGAGAGAGAGAGAGAGAGAGAGAGAGAGAGAGAGAGAGAGAGAGACCACACCTGTGCATAGTACATGGCAGCCAGCCAACGCAGCCTCTCGTCCTCGCTATTGCAGCAAACTGTTTTACCAAAGAATGGGGAATCTTTTGATCTACAAGAGAAAAAAATCAATATTTAATTTAAACAATAAACAAAATTCAAAATGGCAAAAATCAGGAAATAAATACATTCATATTGCACATGATACAAGAAATAATTAAATACTACATTTCCAATATATCAATAATTTAAGAAAGATCAAGAAATACGTTTTACACACCTGACAACTTTTTCATTATCTTCAATAAAAGTAAAGCACCATCTGAAAGTAAAAGGAGGTGAATGTAATTGTTAAATAAAAAAAACTCCATATTTTAAACTTCAACCCATTAACCCCATTATGACAAGAGAATATTCTAATACCAAATAAACTATAGCAAGCATCATAATATAAACTGCACACGAAAAGGACAAGGAATACAAAATGAAGTTCAACAGAATAATCAGTCTTTACACTTGTTAAACAAAAGCAGTATTATTTCCTTTACTTTTCTTTTGATCTTTTCTGTTCCACACCCAGGTAGATTGTTAAATCTTCAACCTTCCAGGAACCAATGGGTGACCCTAGCTGTAAACAGAGAAAATAGACATTAATGACAAGAACTGTGGAGTTAAACATCAGGAACCAATGGGTGACCCTAGCTGTAAACACACAGAAAACAGATATTACGGACAAGAACTGTGGAGTTAAACATTTAATACACCATAAAAAGTACAAGCATTGTGGACAAGAACTGTTATTTTATACCATAAGCATACAACATAATATAGAAATATTACAAGAACTGTGAAGTTTAACATTGTGAATAATATAATAAGCAAAACTGTAGAGTTAAACATCAGGAAAACATGGGTGACCCCAGCTGTAAACACAGAAGCATCTGTTACGGACAAAAAGTATGAATTAAAACAATAAGCATAACATTAAAATATTCAAATATTACAAGACTTGTGTAGTTAAACATCATGAATAATTAAAAAGCCTCGACCAAGAATAACGTATGACGTCCAATTTTACACTGCAGACCAAAAATCAAAAGTCTCAGCATTCAATAATTTATTGCATTTCAATGATCATGATCACTTAAACATGTAATCTACATGGAGTTCAGGGTAAAGGGGGGGGGGGGGGGCAGAGGGCAGTCAGAAAAGGTAAAATACCTGGGATCTGTAAGGATTCCATAATTATCATTATTTCCTACTACCACTTGCCTAGCATTTGATAAAAAAATATAAGTTTGATGGTTGCTTTAGGTACAAGTAATCAAAGATATTTGTGAGATGGAATATGGTGGATGCTGTCAAGTTCACTGTATGTTTTGGCTCACACTGGTAAGTTTGGCTCACACTGGTAAGTTTTACAAAGTCTAGGAAATGAATGCCGTCAGATTATAGCAGTATAGAAAGGGAATGCAGGAACTGATTTTCTCAAAACAACCGGATCCAGAAAGCTTTACAGAGTGACAGAAATATAGAATTTAATTGATTCTTTTTTAATAATCAACTTTTTAACATTTGACAGGCAAAAAACACAGCTGAAGAGGACAGGAGAAGAAATCTGAAACATTTACAAAGGTATTCGTCTGACAGGCATGATCACGAAAATTTTCTTTAATGCTGGAATAAAGAGGAAAACAATGGATTTATGGGGTCAGTACGATAATTTCTGATACTGGCGACCCCTACCTCCTCCACATGCCATTCAGTTACTGTGTCCTCATTTTCTTCAGCCTGGAAGTTTAAATAGGCATTAACATCTACGTTTCCCTTTTTCCTTATCTTTTCTTCATAAATGCTAGGGAATAATTGGGTAGAAAAGAAGAGAGATGTGTTTTGTGTTGGGGAGATAACATACATCTGCTTAAAACATCTACTATTGTTATAGTAATGTACTTAAGAGACACTGTAAGTTTGCAATAGCACAGTGACATCATTCCAGCTAATTCATTTACACAATTATAACACCACCAATTGAAGAAAAAGGGAGAAGTGAAGGACAAAAAGGTGACCCTTATGAGGACAAGGTTGTTGAAAAGGCAAGTACAACATAAAATTCTCCATGTGTTCACGTTGTAGATAGAATCCCTTTGGCACCATTACTGATCATAACGAGGAGTTAAGTTACAAAGCACCTGCCAGACCAGACCAGACCAGACCATCAAGTTTAGCCTGGATTAAGTTCAACATCAGCCAAGGATTTAAAACTCATCACGATGAGCTCATAATCTGTTTGTGACAAGTTTCTTCATAATCTTTTGTGCATTATTATGTCACAAACAGAGCATTATTCCACCAATAATTTCTGTCACTGATCTTTATTTGTCTAGTCAATCAAAACCTATGGCCCATTATGTATTCCATTTAAAATACATGACCCATTATCCAATGTGAGGATTTTCTTCCTTATTCATCAAAGAAGGTGAAAAAGAGTGTTTTCAGATGGAGTCTGACCACCACCTATCAATGTGTCCAGTTACTTACCTTGGAGTAGTTGTAGAAGCTCAGATTTTCTTTTTATTTTCATTTATTCTTTATTCATCAAACGGGGTCAAAAAGAGTGTCTTTAGATGGAGTCATCTATCTGTATCCAGTTTAAATTGACTTACCTTAGAGTCCTTGTAGTAACTGAGATTGGATTGGCTGAACTCAAAGAAAAACTTGTTAAACCTTTTCTTGTCGCTAAAGCGGAGTTCACTAAACGATGATATGTGAGGGTTGAACTGAAATAAATTATAATCATATCACAAAACCAGGAAATTGTAAAATGTCATGAGATTGGTAAGATTTTTTTTCATTATATGAGTAAAATTATAAAGTGTAAAATTATGGACTAATTGACCAGAGTTGGGTCTTATTTTTTGTAATTTACAAAATCATTAAATTTGGACACATCTCAGTAAACCAACACTTGATCTATTCAACAACACAATATTGATTTTTTCATATGTTCTACAATGATGAAGCAATCTACTGACCACTTGTTCTAGCTGTTCATAGATCACATTAGGTTTAACACAGAGATAGCTGTTTCTCCCATCCTCCTCTCCCCAGTGACTCCACCGGAACGTCACTGGCAGGGGCTTCTCACTGAAGTGGAGGGGGCGTTCTGAAGGAAAAGAAATAGATTTGTCATTTTGATTGAAATTATCTGTGTAGTCTTTTGATTATATTATAAACTTAAACTTTCCAATTTCTACACCAACTAGAGCTGTACCTCACAAAGCTTTTGGTCACTTAGTCAAAAATAGTCTATTGTATCAGCTGAAGGTCTGATTATGATTACGAGAAAAAAATGAGACACTGACAAATGGAAAAGAGAAACATGTACTGAAATACGTAAAAAGTAATAACTAATTAAAACTGCCCAGTAAAAGTATCCTCACCTAGCTGACCATCACAGATAACTTCAAAGATCCCCCAGTTTCCTGGCCGCAGCTTGGCCACTATCATGATCTCTGACAACAGTTCTTCTACAGTCATACTGGCTGGGACCTGAAATACAAGGTCAACTGGATTTTACAGGGGCAGACAGAAGCTGCCTTCTGGGTCTTCAGGAAGATGGTCAGAATTTTTCAAGTTTACACTGAAGGCACCTAATTTTTCTGTTGGAAGACTGTCAATAATCGAAGATGGATGAACAAAGATATAAAGATCTATAGAATAAATGGAAGGTGCCTCAAATATACTGTCCAAAATAATATCAAAACTGTATTATGTATAATAATGACATTATGTAATGTTATAGAAAATTAGACAATGGATTAGCGGAAACATCATACAAGAAAATAGCTTCAAAAATTTACTTGTGAAATCAAAGATATAATTCTGACACTATTCTAAGATTTTTTTATTAAAATAATTATTTCAAATGAGTCTCTTCTTATAAGTCTAATTATCATCAAGGAAGCAATATGTGGAGGTGATACCGTACCTTGACCATGTGACAGGTGCCCGACTTGTCACCGATATAGATAGGAATCATGAAGTCACCTGCCTGAGCCTGGAACAACAAGTTCTTGATTTTATTGAATGGATGGCAAAAATATAAAACTGATAAAATTAAAGATATTCCAAATTTGCTGTCTTTTTTACATGAAAAAAATGCAGATTTAATAATTTCTTTTTTTTCAAATACAAGCTTTCTTTGTAGTTCTTGATATTAAATGACAAAAAAAAAAAAAAAAAAAAAAAAAATAATAATAATAATAATAATAATAAATAAATAAAAATAAGAAGAAAACAACATCTTGAGCTATAAATCTGGCCCAGAAGGAATAATTCACTTGCCTGAGGAGCTTGGGCTTTCTTCATCTTCTCAAGGGCTTCTTCTATTTTCTCTTCTTTTTCTTTGGTTGCTTTATCTACCTGTAAAGACAACAATTAAAAGTTTTAAGATTTTTGCATGGTGACATACTGCTGTTTTATTGTGTTATACTACTATTGTGTTCAGTTAGATTCTTATTGTGTTGTGAAAAGATTCCATTGTGCAGCGTTATACTTACATCAAAGAGCCAGTCATAGTATCTGATCATGTCCACTAACGTGGCTATCTCTTGCTGGGTGGTGTTATATTTCTGTCCCGTGTGGTCACTATCCAGAGTCATCAGCGCGGGACCAAAGATGGACCCCAGGTTGACATCTGTCATCTTGTTCTCAGCATTGTTCTTGGCTATGCTGTCAACAGACAAAATACAACAGGGATGTTATCTTTTCATTGATATTTGATCAGTCTTTAGGAAACAACATATTTTAGCATAACAATTAAAAATACAATCTTTTAAATTAACCAAACTGGTGGAAAAGGTTTTACTAAAAGACTGACTGAGAAGTATGTATTTCAAAGATGTGTAACATGGTGTACAACTGTCAGAATTCAAAGGTTTTTCATCCATTCATTCATGAGAAAATAAGAAAGCTATAATACATATACATCCATACAGGGAAAACTCCATCCCTAAACTTATCAAAAATAAATGTCAGCCCCTGCTGTCTCAAGACTTACATTTGTAGGTGTAACAGCAGCTTCTTCAGAGTGTTGAAGTTCACCTTGGGCAGCTGTCCTAAATGATACTTGTACCATTGTAACTTGCTGTTGTGATCCTGGTATGCTGTAATAATAAATGATATACTGAGTAAAGATGATGGTTTAATTTGCTTGTTGTCATTGACTGGGAGATGATCTATGTAACTTGTATCACTACAAACTCTAGGTAATATCCATCAACATATTTATTGATTCCACAATCAATCAACCAATTATAAATTGAAAAATATCTCAGATTTTAGGCATAATACCCAATGGAGAAAACATTTGACACTGCAAACTTCCAATAACATCAAGCAGTCTATAAATCACTGACAAGGAAGATTGAATTTTCAATTGATTAAATGAACAGATGATAATTCACCCTGTCATCCAATCACATATCCAATATATCCAATATAATCCAAAATATCAGAAGTTGAGAAATGTCTCAAATTTCCACACATTCTTTTACCTGCAGTCTCCACAAACTTTGGATAAAGGTCTCGCGTCAACAATGGTGCTGTCAGAGTCCGGAAATACCTCTTCAGTGCATTGGCCACGTCATGTACGCTGTAGTCATCTGCCTTCAGGTGGACTGATCTGGCATCTGAAGTGAAAATATAGTCACAGATTATTATATATTTCCACCCTTGCAACTTTCTTGCTGTTTCCTTGCATAACTATTTAAGTCTAATTATCTGAAATGGCCCTTACTGTGCTGTTGGTTCTAACAACCTACACTAAATTTTCAATTTAAAAGACTGTTTGTACATTATAAGAGAATAGATCTATAATAATCGTAACTTATCAAGAGCTGTGGATCAAAAAACTTCAATGTTCTATACTTTTATTTCTAAAGGTTTTCATTTAAACAGAAGATTGAAGATAAATATCTAAGGCAACATCTTTCTTGAGTGCAAAAAAATTCATCTCTGATATAATTTTCAACAGTACTATGTGTACTTCCTAAACAATTTTGTGAATAAAAAACAGATAATGACTATTAAATACAGGTATTCTTTCCATGTGAAAATATCAAGCCCCAATAGATACCTTCTCTGAACGCCTCTAATAGATGCGCCACCTTGGAATGGGTGCCATTTAACCTGTATATACCCTCTGTAGTTGTGCCTGGAATATGGATACAGAACATGGATAAAGGATATGGATACAGAATACAAATAAAGAATATAGAACATGATATGATTAGAGAATATAGATGCAGGATATGGATAGAGAACATGGATACAGGACATGAATGCAGGACATGGATACACTATATGGATACAGGATATGAATACAGGATATGGATACAGAATATGGATACAGGGCATGGATACAGAATATGGATACAGGGTATGGATACAGAACATGGATACCTGATGTGGATAAAGAATATGGATACAGGATAGTTTTTATATAATTTGACACCTGATCAGTCATTCGTTGACATATATTATAAAAGAGGAGTGAGTGAGAGAGAAGTTTATTTAGTTATTTATCAATTTGTATTTTTTTGAGATATGCAATAAAAAATCTATTAAAAAAACTGCTATGAGCCAGTTACCATGAGCTGAAATGAACTTGATACATTTGTCCACGATCACTGGGATGTCCTCCTGGGTCAACTGTTGCTCATCCAGTTTGGGACCACTCTCCTGGAACATGGATATTCAATGAATTTATATATATAAACAAAAGCCCACAGTCCAATAAACCTTTTCCTCTGTGATAAAGAATACATATACTACCATCTTCTTTCAAAACTGTTAAGACAAAATTCATGCATAATTAAAAGAAGCAGGCAATACTATAAATTATATTAATTTAATATCAATCTTAAATCAAGGGACTATATCTAGTGTTCTATGACTCACAGTGGCTGCAGTGTGTATAATCTTCCACCAGCTTTCTGTATCCTTCTTCATGTCTGCTTGGAAATAGAGGGCTCTGAAGAGATATAGGAGATCATGGACTTAGGTTCTCAAGACAGAGATGAAATGGTGGTAATGAACAGCTAATGATTGCAAATTTGCTAGCCAATTTATTTTTTAGGATAGAAGAATATATACTATGAAAGACAGACATCAAGCAGTTGCTAGGTTTTTATTTGAACTCTATCTCCATGGTGACAGGAAATATGTCGTTTTCATCTACAGTCCTCATTTTGAGCAATTGCAAAATTAACAGCAACAACACATGACAGGTAATTTCTTGTATATTATTATTTTGTATAATATTTATACCAGTATATAAATGCTACCTACCTCCCAGGCCAGTCAACTACAAACATCATTCCATTTTCATATGATTCATTACAAGTTCCTTCCTGCTCCTCTGCAACATAAAATAAAACTCTTTACATGTTGTGATCCATTGTTTTTTTTTAAAGAAAACAGTAAAAAGTTTTATACTAAAACAAAACAAAAAATTACACATGCCATGATTACAGCAATATTACTTCTACCTTAAGATGACAAGAATGTTACAATGTGAAAGCTGCATTTCAAAGCAAATTAACTTTTGCTAAAAATGAAAAAATCTGTCATGACTAATATAATACAAGATACACAGTCTAGAACTAATTCAAATTCTATAATATATTCTCTACAACTTACTTAATCCCACAGCTTTCCTCAGGTCTACATAGCTGGACTCCCTCTCATGCTGAAAGAATATTATAACCACAGGAGTTACAGATGTTCCTATCATAATGTTTAATCATTTTATTGATGAAATAGCAACTATTCACCTTGAACATGAAAAACAAATTTGCAAACATTACAAATAATGCTTATCATGGAGTTGCATATTTTCAGACAGGCACACAATTAGACTTTCTAAAACCCAAAATACTGACATGTGACTGTTTTTTTTTTCATCTATTTCAAGGCTATTGAAAAAACACTGACTATGATCTAACTACATACCTAATGAACCAATGTACTTACCTCTACGAATAAGGCTAGCTGTCTTTCCTTGAGCTGGATCCACGTCTTCCTCCAGTCCTGAAATATAGGAATATCTCTTAATACTGGGTGTTTCTAAATAATAATGCTATTCATAACCACTGGCCAAATCACTGTAACACAGAAAAGTTTTACATTGTGGTGCACAACTAAATTTCATCGATCTCAATTATTTCCAAAGGCATCCTATGCAATGCGGCACTCCTGAAATTGGAGTTGGGAGAGAAGGGCATTTTGTTTTCACTTTTTTAAGAACAGTCTAGGAGTGAAACACCACTAATAGTTTTGTTGCTAAAATAAATCAGTGTAATTTTTTTTAATCTTGATTTTATGAAGAAATCAGGAGCTTAAGAACAATATCATATGACTTACTCCTGTGGCGCCCTCTCTGATAAACATCCAACCAGCAGCGTAGAAAGGCTGAACCTCGTCTATGGCAGTATATGGCACGCAACTCTGTCATGGTGAAAGAAAAAATACAACACTGAGTTCAACAACTGCTGATTATGTCATACGTTTCATACCTCATACATACCTAGAGATGTTATGTCACTGTAGTGATATACGCTTTACTCTTACATTACTTCATTACAAGATATAAGCTTTATTCAGTTTTCCGCTTTTCAGTGAAATGAAAGTACTTTTCTTGGTATGTATGTCAAATTATACACTAACATCCTCTCCAGTATTTCATTTAATTTTCTATTCCCTGCATAAATAATAGCAATATTAAAACAACATTTGTTTAAGACAGTACTTACTTTTGCAATGTTAGTAATCCACTCTGCTATTTCTTCTTCAGAGTCTGTGGCAAACAGATAAACTCTACCTCCTGACTTGGTGGTACACACCTCAAAGGAATGCTCATATCTGGAGATAAGATGACTTTTATGATGACTTCTGTGATGAGAGAAGCGGGGAGTTACCATAGTGAAAACCAATGACGACTAAAAGGTATAATCCCTGATATAGAATTCTAAATTCTATACACACTGGCATAGGAAGTGGATTTTTTTTCTAAAAATTTTAATCATGGTGTATTCTATGTATTATTCGACATATCTAAAAACATACTTAATGTGAATTCATTATTTGACATCTTTCCAAAGAAATTTTACAGAACTAAAATAAAAAAATCTTGCAAGGGAAAAGATCTTATAAAATGTCAGATAATCTGCATTATTTCTATTTCCAGATTTACTCACTTTTCATTAGTGGTTCTGTTAACAGACATGATGTCCTTAACTTCTATGGTATCTTTGGCTACAATGGCCTGAAATTAAGTAAAAAGTAGTATAAACACATATACAATTGGATAAATGGTATTCCATTTCCACTATTCTTGATAAAAACTGGTGCAATAATAAATAAATAAATAAATAAATAAATAAATAAATAAATAAATAAAAGCCACCTAATGTGACTGATCCAAAAATGTTTAAATCATTATTTCATTTTTATTCTTTAAAGAACATCCAATAACTTTTTTTCTTTTCCCCAGTCTCACCTTCTGGTCGGCAAAGTAGCTGAGAGTTCCGTTCTCCAGCACACACCACCTCTTGAGGAATTCTGGAAATATTTTGTTTAAAATCAGTTTTAAAATTTTAAATAAATTTTCAAATAATACCTTCAGATAGAACAGTTTACATCCAATTACAAAAAACTCATGAGTTAATAAGTTCACTGACAACAAACATCCTTCTCAACTAAACAGTGCACTTTTTATACCACAATATCTAATTTTCTTTTTACAGTCATTTCTGCTCCCTAAAATACACAGCACACTCTACATATATACGTAAAAACTACATACAGTATAAGATGTGAAATAAAACATGACCTCCTACCTTTCTGATTGCTCCCAGTTTTATATAAATAACCTTTAAAGGAAATGTTTCTTCGAGATACGCTTGCACCCTACAAAGAGAAAACAAAAGTTCGCAGTTTGAATGAAATGTAATATCTAACATATATATCATGTTAAAGGTAAAAATACACAATCATTGATTAATCAAGTTACATGTTGTAAAGATTTTATTTCAACTTCAAATCAATAACTTATATAGAAATGAATTTTCGAGATGAAAAATTTTTTAAAAAATCTTTAACACATTTAATTTTAGCTACATGCTCAACTTGAAAAAGTATTCCATAAACTTGCAGCAAAACAAATATTCTACTTACTGAGAAACTCCCACTGCCACTGCCATTCATACCATCTGCACCATTTTGATATAAAAACTCCTGCAAAAATACAAAACATCTTTCAAAAATTTTCTAATGGTTCGTTCAATCATCTTATCACAAAAAAGACCTCAAGAACATCTGGCATTTAAGGAGAAAAAATGTACTTGATATCTTCTGATCAGTTTATGGGAAAAGGTAGAAGTTGATATATTCTTGCCTGTGGGACATATCATTCATTTGTTGAACCAATTTGAAATCTTTTTTTTTAAACCAGTTTGAAATCTGAGTTAATGTCCTCCTAACACAAAGAGAATACAAACCACAGCAGATGTAGTGTGCTCTGTATGTGATACTCACCAACTGCACTGTCTGCTTTGCCAGCTTGGCCAGTTGCACAGCTGTAATACAGACAATAATGTTCAGCTGTTAATTATTTAATCAAATTACAATCTTTTTCTCACTTTCTTTTCTTTTTATGAAAACATCATTTTGTCAACTTGATAATCATTCCACCACAAATTCTACTCTACTTGTAACTGTGTCTTGTGAATTTTTAGACAGAAATTCTAATTTTATATCAACTGCAAATTCAAAAAGCACAGATGAAGATGGCTGCTTACAGATGGACTGCAGTAATATTAACTCACTCATTAGATTTTCAAGTCTTTCAAGTTTGTAGTTACATCAAAGCTATAGTCCTCACTTACGTGTAAGGCTAGGAGTCCCAAAATATATACAGCTTGACTCATGGGTTGTCTATACAAATACAAAAAAGGGAAAATGTACAATTCCTAAATCACATAACATTTATTTTAATTGAAAATTATTTCCATTATACGCAAAAAGAAAGCCTAGGAAGGAATAACAAATAGGGAAATTTACTTCTAATTGCTATATCCTAAATCAAATACAACAGGCAATATTACTTATTAGTAAAATCTATAATTTCAAAATGATAATACTGTTTATATTTCCCTCTCTTGAAGTGAAATGAGTGGATGTGCATGTATATAATACAGAACTACTTTATTCCGTGGATTTAGCTTTCACTGAAGTCTGGTTTTAAGCTGGTATGGGAGTCAGGTTTGTAAAATATATTTAAAAAATGGTTTATATCTAAGGATGTGATATGTTGTGAGCAATGATTTTTAAATAACTTATGGTGCTATAAAAAAGCATGAGACTAAAACACAGCTGTAAAATCAACCCTTGTTGATTCTAACTTACCTCAGCGCCATGGAAGAGCAGGGACACAGTCTCCATGATATCATCTCTCTGAACTGACCGACACAGGGACTGGAAGACATCAGTATTATCATTTCTATATTATCAAACTTCTATAACTGTATGGTAAAACAATACAGGAAACGTATGCTTTTTACTTGGCACAGGGCTCATAATGCCAAGCAGAAGTCTGCCCCAACTAGCTCAGATATGAGACAAAACTATTCAATAACAGTACAATAAAACAAAAGTCTTATTTGTCATTTTGACCATGACCCAAAATTAAAATATCCAAAGTAATACTGATAAAAGTTCACTTATTGTCTGTTAAGCTACCTCATTCAAGGATTCTTGTTTTCCCTGCAGTGCGTGGTCCTTGCAGTACATTTTACTCTGATATTTGCTCATGATGAATGTCTGTCTTGTTTGCCTGAAACCAAACATAGTGCTTTTAGTTATACCTCTAAGAAACTAAAATCGTTCAAAACATTGATATTTAATCAAAAAATAAATGAAAGTGAACAGTAATTTTTTTCTATACTTACGTATCTACATCTGGTTCCAGTTTATCCTCCAGTGGTAACTTCCACTCCCAGAAATCATTGGAATTATCATTGCCTATTGCCTGGAACATCTGTAACCACAATCAATATACAGATTTCAGGTGAAAAATCCCATTTTCACAGCCAAGAGTTACAGTTCACCTACTACACTTGGCTGTGCTTCTGTCACCTGTTTTCAGCTATAAACATATGGACCAAACAGCTATTTGGCTAATCTTGTCAGTAGTCATGTGTTTGTCCCAAAGATTAGGTAATACATATCGAAATGCACTTTTAAAACAGTTCTACAACCCTGTTAGACATTACTGCAGTACATTCACACCTTGGTTAGCTATTTTGGGTTTTAATCAGACCTATTTCTACCATCACAGACCTCTCAACAGGGGACAGCTGTCACACCATATTCTAGGTAATAACACTCACCTTGACCAGTGAGGTGGACCACACCTTGTGGTCCATCCGTAGTGACCGCACCTTGGAGATGGAAGTGCCCAGGTGTCTGTGCACCCCTGGAAGTGGAGTAAGAACAGAACTGAATACAATCATCTCTCAATGTCTAACACATGACATAGTTATTATTTTTATTGTATATATATATTTGAATGAAGACAATGGAGTTTAACAGCAAGAAACTATCCTCTTTTGTAATAAATTACACAAATGGTTTTGGTTTGTAAGGAAAGAAGAAACGGCTCGGTAACCTAACTATGGGTCAGTGGCCCCGTAATTCAGCTGGAAAAGTCACAAGATAAACCAGAATACTAATTTAAATCATGTGTGGAATTATGATGACTCTGCTGTGATCTAATACAGGAAGACACCTACCTGAGCAGCTCTTGCACAGTGTTATCCCCAGGTTAATGGACGCCCAGTGCGGCTCGGGGGCACTACAGTCTGCGCACTGCTTGTTACTTCTGTTCTCGTAGACTTGCTTTAAAACCTAGGTCAGAAATCAGATACAGTACTATAGCAGTTGGAATTCCTGAATACACATTAGCATTATGAGATGTCACAGCAAAGACTGCTGCAAAATGTCAAATCAAAATGTTAGAAAATATAAATAATATCTTGAAGGGTATTCAAACAATGGGTAAATGCCATGCAGTTATAATGGTATGACAGTAACAGCAAAACAGTAACAACTTAAAACCATGACATTAACAATATACAAAGACAATATAGCAATGACAAATAAAGTTATCAGCAATAACAGTACAACAAAGTAAGTGACAATATCAGCATTAGGACAATGTTACCGTATCATCAGACAGTCCCTCAGCGATGGCTTCCTCCATAGCCTCCCGCCATTGCTGGAAGTCCTGGACACTGTCACAGGTAAACCTGGAAAGTGGACGCGGATTAACTTTCTTCATACAGTAACAGTACTATGGTTACATTTATGTGGAGTTGAATTTATTTTTTTGAAAGAATTCCAATTTTTTATCAAGCTGAGAAATAAAGTTACACAGAAAAAGTGTGCATCAAACTGTATTCAATGTATCCTGACATCCATAATTCAAACAAAACAACTACAAAATAAATTTACAGCCCTAATTTTACGTCATTCTCAGTTTTTTCTACTTGTAAAATGTAATTTAATGCAATACAATTAAACGCAACACAATAACAATAACGATAACAGAGTGTCTCAAGAAATATACTCACAGAAAAGAATGATAATTTGTTATAAGCTGTATTTTGTTTTTGCCAGCATCTTTGACAGAAGCAAGCTGCATTTCTATTTCATGAATGGGAGATGCCACTTTAAAATCCTGAAATTAAAGGTGAACAAAAAGGTGAACAAATCTTTAATCACATTGTTGAGTCATCCCTACTTAAATAACTATCACACAGCGTCTCTTGTGGTGATGATTTGTTTAGCTGGTGAATTTTTCAATGATGCGCTCAAGTTTCAACTATGACAAAATCTTATTTTATTTTCAAATGTAAAAAAAAATAATTAAATTATAAATTATTTCAGAGAAGTAAAATTGTGTCTATATCTTTGTTGCAAAGAGCACAAGAAGTCATAACTGGCATCATTTATATAACACTAAAGTAAAATATACATAATCCTTTTAAATTCCAATATACTTTACTCACATCATAATTGTTATAATAGCAGAGCTTGTCTCCTTTGATGGCAATGTAACATTTGCCCTTGGTTCCGTCCATCTTCAGGAATCCTTCCTTGTCAGGTCCCGCCATGTCTCCACCTGGTATTAACATGTTACACTCCACATCCTATAATATATGACATCTAATTACAACCACAATAAATATATATATTACACAATTAATACAGAATGCAATCTAATAATCCCAGAACTAAATAAGGGACCATTCCCAGACCCTATCATACTAACTGTGGATAGATCTAACTCCAAGGAGATTCTCGCTAAAATGCAATCAACTTAAGTGGCTTAGATGTCTGTCACACTTACTGAAGCTGTTAGGGGGTAATTAATTATCCTTTAGAAGTTTCATTAGGCGTGCCAGACATCTAAGTTGCTTAAGATGAAAGCCATAAACCCCTCAAAGATGAGTCGATGCTGTTAGATAGATCTAGGTATTGGAACTCAGTCTAAAACTTAAAAGTTCATGCAAAAACAAAACAAACAAAATAACTCTGTTGCGACCTCAATACCAAGATAAGATCACTGTACCTACACTATGATACCTCACCTTGTATTTTATAATGGCCTGTAATAATGTACTGCTCCAATAGGTCAAGTCATCTAGAATAAAAAAATAATGGTCTCAGTTCTATGTAGATACAGTATTTTTTTCTTATATGCAAAAAAAAAACAAAAAACAAAAAAAAATGTTCATGTGGACAACAACAATGCCAGGTGACAAAAAACACTTTTTGTGTTAACTCTTCAAACAGGATTTAAACTCCCAGTGTGTATAGAAAAGTCATTTTTATGAATTGCATCTTTTTCTTCTTGTTGTAATCACCACATATTTGTCATTTTGTTATACACACACACATTTTTTTTCTGTTTGACAGGTAATAAGGACTGCCTCTCAAGTAAAACACCTTTAGTCATCCTTTGAGGCAAAACTTTCTCAGCAGCTGCTTCCACAGAAAACATCTTCGCTGCCAAAATACTTGAAACACCAGCTAATGGTGCAACAAGTCATAATGAAGATAAAATGCTACAGATATCATTTTACTTTTTTAAAATAGTGATTATATTTTGGTTATTTTTTTTAACTTACCTAAATCCTCAGCAGCAAAGATGAAGACACGGTCAAGAGTAAAGAGCTTGAAACGATACTGCTTTGACTCCCCTGGCTGGAAGTATAATGAGAAATGAAATGAGTTCTTTTAAACACTTCTTATTTCCAAAAATCGCAAGAAACACCTTCTAGGCAGCAATTCCCAAAATATTTGCCTGAAAACATAAATAGTTTATAATGCAAATGTCTTTAAAACTGACCTAAATACTATAAATGTACTAATAGCAAAAACATTTTTTTTACAAATTACTTCAACACTTTGGTATATTTGCACTTCAATTTAATCAAATGGTGATTTAACTTGGTATCTGGCACACCAACTACAAATGAACAAACTTGAACATCTATCAATTTAAGAAAAGACAAAACCAAGAGCAACAGCTCAACAATCATCAGGTATTGCAGTACACAATGTCATGAGAAAGCAATTACGGCACTTAATCACATCCCAGCTTTACAATACATCCTGTGAGAGCCGTCACCTCTATCCTTCATTGTACCAAGAAGTGACACTAGTGTCGATAAAGACAAACTGTCTAGCTTGTCATGAAGTAAACCAAAGGCTTAAGGTCAGTTTTTTTTTATATACTCAAGGAATATAATAAACATAAAGTTAACCACCAAGACGCCAGTGAGCACAGACTGCCATGAAGTTTACAGACTTTATGGTTATCCAGTGTAATGTAGGTGATCACTTAAATTGCACATATCAGGAGATACCTTTAAAAGTAATTTTTATACTACCAATGAATGAAAATAAAAAGAAATAAGAATTTTAATTCATAAAGCCATTGTTACAACACCTATACATCTAAGACTTACCTCTTCCACCCCTCATGTCTTAAGCTTCAGAAATATGATTGATTATCAAGTTGGGATACAATATATCAATAACAATTAGTTGTAAAACTCACCTTATCTAACAGTCTATAATATATTATTATTATACTATATGAAATTTATCTCAAATGGAAGTATTGGAGTTCAGGAGATAAACATCAAATATCATTCAAATCAGGTCAAACTTAAACCAGAGATATTTTTGTCCCAATTTCAGTCCAGTTGTAGCAATAAAACTTGGTTCAATACTTCCTCAACAGACCAATAACTATATACAAACATCAGATCATATAAAACATAGCACAGGTATGTGACTCTGCTGTCATTCTCCATTACTTTATAACAGAGACTTATTCAAGACTGACAATGACTGTCCGTTCATACCAAATATTTTTATTTTCAAAATATGATGTCTATCTGATATCTGAGAGATCTATTCTTCACTCCCATGTTTTACATTAAATTGCAAGATGAAGGGTATGATGTTTTTAGAAAAGAGACTAATGTACCTCTTTAGACAATAATGTTGTTGTAACTGTACCTACCCTGACATCGTTCTCCACATTCTTCATCACCGCCATAGGGATTATTCTTTTGGAGACTTTACTCTGGAGAATTTGATAAAACAAATAGTTTTAAAGGACACAACTCCTTTTAAAATTATCATCATGATAGCATTGACCAATTTCAAGAAAGCGACATAATTCTTTTTTTTAATACCTTAATATGTAACTTGTTTATATTTTGACAAAATATTAATTTAATGAAATTTGCAATTATAATTTATCACAGAAAATAATACAATATAATTTAAACCAGCAATATATGCTCGAAAGAAATTATCACAAAATAAATTCAACCTTCTGTCTGCCATAGCATTGCACTATCACTCCTTTTTATTTTGCTGTATAAAAAACATTAAATTTCACCATACTATATTTTGCAAATTAGATGGACTAAAAAGTTTAACTACAAACTACCTTTTGATCTTCATAATATCTGATGTCTTTTCCATTGAAAACAACCCAGCGTTTTCTCCAGCCTTTGTTCCCTTGTTTACTGAAATAAACAGAAAATCTTAATCACAAAACCAGGCAGAAAATGCTGTGAAAGGTACAGAATCATGGTAGGTATCAAAACTTGCTCCCCTTTGTGTGGTACAGTGTAGAAAAAGTAGTTAAAGATTTATAACATAATAAACAGACTACACAGATGAATTTCCATTTATATACTTACCCTCCTTGTTTATACAGCATGCCTTGCCTTTCTGTTCTCCTTACCTGAACAGAAACAATATATCTTGTGGTTAAATTTGTGGATGAAGGCATAAAATTACAAAAACATAACAACTTGCAGACATTATCTTGAATCTCCAGAAAGACTCTTCAGTGGAATTCAAAGAGAGAGACTTATTAGGTTAAAATACATTATTAAGCAATTGGACAACTTCTACTGTTTAACTCTTGCAGCTGATATTGAAGTAAAAAAGAATCTGCTGTCGGACTGCCTCTCAAGTAAAAACACCTTTAGTGAATCAGCTGAATCAAAGTGTAATTTTTTAGTCGTTGTAACAGTTATTGATTGATTTAGTTGCACTAACTGGAATTCTATGCCATGCCATTTATTTTGACAGTAATGTCACTAAAGCAATGAATTGATATAACTGTAACTTACAGGTGATGTTGGAGTGATGGGGATCCTACTGCTCATTTCAGCAGGATCGAATGGTTTCAGCGTGGTAGTCTCCTCCACAGCGCTGTAGATCTCACCGCCATCACTGAGGCTGTCCTCACTCTCGTTCACCTCTGCTGGGGAAAAAAAATTAAATCCTTCATTAATAAATTCAAAGCATACAAGCATCAGTGTTTTCACCTCTGCTGAGAACCAAGAACATGGCATTATATCTGCATAACTCAGCAACAAAAGACAAACTGTGGCTGTAATTATAATACACTTTAAAGTAATTAGAAGATATAGAACCACACTGTAGGCTAGATCTATTCTCCTGTCCCCCAGTCAGTGTGCTGAACTAAAGATAAAATACATAAAGTTGTAACTTCAGCTCTTCCCTCTCACCCCCAATGAACAAATAAATAAATAAATAAATAAATAAATAAATAAATAAATAAATAAATATAAATAGATAATAAATAAACAAATAAATAAATAAATAAATAAATAAATAAATAAATAAATAAATAAATAAATTAATTAATTAATTAATTAAAAATAATAAATAAACAAAAAAGTGTCAATAAGTATTAACTATCACCATACGAATGAATAAGCTATCTATTAAGTAAATTAAATCTCTCAATCTATGTTAATATTAACCTTTGGTCAGTGGTCACCTACTAGTAACCCTATGGCAGGTCACTGTACTATAACACACATACTCTAACACATACTAGTAATATTCCAGTGATGGATGACACATTATACACTGACACATACACACACCTTGTTCACTGATATAAAACATTAGATCCTCATATTTCACTTCAAAGTAAACATCAGTGGACGGTGCACGGTGCTCTAGTACAGTAACTGAAGGCCGTGAGTACGGTATTCAAACCATGTGATGCAGCGGACATATTCAAAATAGATATCACACAATAAATCATTCTGTATTAAAACAAAAGCCTCTATCTGTGACAAGATAAGATAAGACAAGATTCGAGCTTAGGTCAACATCTGGACGAAAACAGGTTTTCAAAATGTCAGCCTGTAGGTGCAGATTTGAAATAATTTGTTTTTTTTCCAACATTAGCCAGATTTATTGCTGCCATTGTTTTCAAGTTACAAATTGAATACTGTAATGTTTTATTGTTACTGTTTGCCAGAAATGAGATATTTTTAATGAGCCCTATATGAAATTGAAGATCAAATATATAGATACTGTATAGATAGATAGATAGATAGATAGATAGATAGATAGATAGATACAGACAGACGGGCAGACAGACAGACAGACAGACAGACAGATAGATAGATAGAATCCACTGCTTGCTCTTGCATATACCAGATTCAGACTAGCAAATAATCTAAAGCTACTTAGGATGAAGAAATTGTTCAAGGTCTTATAATTATTTTGCCATTGAATCTATTAAAGAAACTAAGTGGTTTCACTGGAATTAAAATACTGGGTGTTTACAAAATGTAAATGACATAATAACACAGATTATACAGCACTAGAAAATATGTAAAATTTTGACCAGCTGTGACAGAGAGCAATTAGGAAAATTTATAATTAGATACTGAATTTTTGAATAATTAAATATACATTTCTATATAACACTTTTGGTATAATTACTGCACAGAACAGAACTATAGGGCCGTCTATTTTTTTTTATTTTGTTGCTACCACTCAGTAGAAATTTTCTAATTTTAAGAACTTATGACTTAAGAAAATACAGAATAATTAAAAATGTACAATTTCCCTAATTGAAAGGATTGAGTTATTACCATATATCAAGACTGAATATACACATGAATATTGCATGTTCACATGCATTGGGTATGCTTACACACACACACACACACACACAACTCTAAATACAAACCATTGCAGTCAGCTCCTCCCTCATCAAGACTACACTGACTAAACCTTCGACTTAGCCTCTTTACAAGAAAATGATACATTGTCCACTGTCCAAGTAACAGCAATATTAGTTATAGTCACAATGACAATTGTTAATGTATCTCTCTTCTCACATTTAACAGTAGAGCTTTGCTGCCTCTTTGTCTAGAAATGATACATATTTGACAACAGTATCACAGTCCTCTTATATATGACTCTGTTCTCATATAACTATAGTTGTATATGTTACTGTTACTGCCTCCTTGCTTAGAAATGGTACAACTTCAAAATGTTACACAAAGATGGGATGTCAGTAAAGTGAAAGCATCTTATTGCTATTTCTCAAACTGATGCCCCAAGGTATCTGTGTTTTACTGTAACTGTCCATTTAACTGAAAATATTACACTCTGAACACACAACATCAGTATATGAGTAGACACTGCACGATGATGTAAAAGTTCCACCAGAGAGAAGACTAAAGTTGAAGAGAACCCCATCAGAGTCACGGCTGTGTGTGTTACTGTAACTGTCACTTGGCAATGGTGCATCATCCACCTTCAATATAACAACTGTCTGCAGTTAACAGAACACAATGGGGTGTGTATTCCAGTATTTCTGTCCTGGCAAAGAGACAGCTTTTACAGAGTTTATCAACTGTTGTCCTCAAAATAGTCAGTAAATAACATCATGGTATGACATCACTGAAACAGTTGTCTGAATAATCAACTGATTCATTTATACCTCTCCTTGTCTGGCACAACTTGCAACTTTTTAGACATATCCAGGTTTTGATTTGTGGATCATAACCATTAAATAGATGTAGCTGGCCAGTGTGAAATCATATCTCAAAATCCAAATCTTCATCCAGTGTTACCGTGCCCGTGTTCACACCCATTCTTCTCTTTAAACAGTGCTAAATATTCCCAGAAACTAATCCTAAACAGAGCATAACCTCCTTCCACAATCTATCTCTGAATATAATACAGGACCCCAGATCACAATACTGGTATGCCTGCTACAATAACAACACTCAAAGAAATATGAGCTACTGACAGATAATCATAGAATGCACCAGCGTGGCCACATATAAACTGACCAACCATCTGACTGGTGGTCATACATTATCTCCATTGTAAATGTCAAAAGGAAGATGACACCAGTATATATAGAGAGATTTGTGTGGGAGCTGGGTTCACACATACTGAGTTGGAGAAGGCTATTAATATGTGGCACAGAGGTATAATATATCATACATACTGAGAAATAATATAAAGTGGGAAGAAGCACTGTATTTAAGCTGGATTAACAATGACTGGACTTCATCAAACTCTTATAATGTTGTATACAGGTAAGGCATCTCACATTGTGATGATCAGACAGCTACATAAGACTGAGAAATCAAAGAATCAGTGGAAATGCACCAACCATGTGGAACATTTGGCCAGTATACAAAGTCCACTAGATGGTTTGGTTATTGAATTTTGGAGATTTTGTTTCTGAAATCTCAAGCGTCTACAGTCCATGGCGATCATTATGGGATATTTTTGACTGATATAAATTAAATCTTAATTACTACATTTTATTATACATAAATTATTTTTACTTGAAGTAAGAAATATTTTGAGTGCCCTTTAAGTCTTCTTTTGAGGCAAGTTATTTTCAATGAATTTTTTAAAGCATATTTCATCAAAATTGTTTTGTGCACAATGCTGCCCTTTGAACCAGTACACTTCATTATAATAAGTACTTGTAAGATGCACCAACCTGGGCTGAAAAATCCTCTCTTCTTTGAAATATGAGTATGCTTCCTGAACTTATAGCAGAAATTCTTGAAATCCAACATGTCACTGGATGAAAACTTGTAAATCCACAGTGATTATAACATCCAATCATAAGTGTGCAGGTTAAAAGACCTAAAACATGATGAAGTCTCTGACCTTAAGTAACAGGGCAGCGCAATGTGGCATCACATATATAAAAGATACACCAAACTGAAAATGTCCATCTGGTGGAGTTGCTGTTCATATTCAAACTCTCATGGTCTAAATATGTGACTTCTATTTCATGTTAACCACTCAGCAACATATTGTAATCAATGCACGTATGATAAGCAGCAATCCAGTCAAGACATGTTAAACGTGAATTCAAAGTGTCATCTGAGTCAGACAAAAAAAGTGGATGTCATTTCCACATTTTCAGCTGACTGCAGAACTATTACAAAATGAAATCAATTCAAAGACTGCATGTTGGTTTGTCATGGCTTCACAAGGTATATTTGCCTTTCGCTTCACTCCTCTCTATTCTAACTTCCTTTTTATACAAACATTTATTACTCATATTGTTGTGTACCGTCCTACAACTTCCTGATGATAAGGGAAGTTCACACCTTTTTTACCTGTACCTGGCTGATACCTGGGAGATATCTCAATAGAATTATAGACTCCAGTACTTTGTCTGCAGCCATATTTCTTTTAAAACTGTTGTTTGTTTTGCGCAAAGAGAATGTTTATTGAACTGTGAGGATAAAATCCTGAGTCATAGTGATTTAACAATTTATGAAAAAATATATGAGACACAATTTTGTAAAGAGAAACCAAAACGCACTTAAATGTGCTTAAGTGTCTTATAATGTGACATCTGCCTAACGATACATTTTAAAGAAAAAACTTTACTGTAGATCACAATTAAATCTTAATACAATCTGGTACCTAATGCCTTCCTTACTGTACTGAGCACAGCTTGTGTTTATCTACTGGGGTCCTTGAGCAGGGTATTGAATGCTAACATTATGATAGTTCTATTATCATACTTCAAAAGATAAAAAATGCTCACACCCTGTCAAAAAAAAAAAATTTTCAGAGATGAAGATCCCCCCCCCCGCATGCCCTCCACCCTGACACACTCACAAAAAAAAAAAAAATGCTGTTCCTTTTTTTTGATGACCTTTTTTGGATACTTAAGAAAGTAACATGTTTTTTTTGTGTATATTAGATATGCGTTATCAGTTTGCTATAATCAAATACTTTGACTACACAATATAAACAAAATAAATTGACAAGGAAGCAATTTATCAAATTTCAGTTGAGGTCTTTCAATGATTAGTTTCAAGAATATCATCAGCTGTTTTATAGTAACAGCCTGTTTTCATCAATAATTCAATCAAATCAATTTTTGCATTTAAAGTTGGTGAGTTCTACCCAATAAGTAGGGAAGGTAGGAGATCTGGGAACCATGTGTTAATTCAGAAAAGCTAATAGTTGCATTGCACTTGTGACTACCACAACACATCCATCAGAACATGCTTTAACTATCACAGCTTCTATGCATCAGACATAGACCGGGTTCCCATACCTAGATCAATCTGACAGGATCAATCCATCTCTGAGGGGTTTCTCGCTAAATTGCTTTCAGCTTAAGCGGCTTAGATGTCTGACATTCCTACTAAACCTGCTTAACAAAAAGAAATACCCACTAGCAGCTTCAGTAGGTTTGTCAGACATCTAAGCCGCTCAGGTTGATTGCAATTCAGTAAGATTCCCCTCAGAGATAGATTGACCCACAGTTAGTACGATAGGGTCTGAGATTGGTCCCATAGAGTAATTAGCCAGCTACATGAACTTTGTCTTACCGTGAGAGTCCACTTCTCCCTGCAACTGATAGATGGCACTGTCATCTGGCATGGCATGAGGAGCTGGAGGTCTGGGCATCGAGGGCAATGGAGGCAAGACCCTGGTACCTGGATAAAACGTGATAGAAAGTAATGGACACATACAGACTGATGTAGAAGTCTAGAAGTGTTGAAAATTCATTATTTGTAGAGAAATTTGTGATACAGACAATTTGAGAAATTTGTGATACAGAACTACAGATTTGATTAATTCTGTGAAATATGGCTGAAGTGTAAAACATTTAATAGTTTCATAGTTTTGTAAATGACTTTCAACTATTATCAAAATAAATAAATTAAATATTATGACAAATGATGCCTTTTAACAAATCCATATTGTAAAAGTTTCATCCCTTCAATGCTGAAAATAAATTTAGATCCTAGGTACCTACCCATAAAAGGCTTATTGACAGCACTGGGCCTTGGCCCTGGCGGCAGCGGAGCGGGTCTGATGGGTTGCCTAGCAACAGGAGCAGGTGCTGGGCTGTCATTGGTTGGTAAATCTGTGTAAACATTTTCTACACTTAAGCTTTCTCTTCCACCTGTTGCTTGACTTGTTGTAGGTGGAGCTACATCACAGTACACATTCCCATTGTTCACACTTTCTCTCACGCTGGGATTCTGATTTTGACTGTGGTCAAAGAAATTCTCATCATGGTAGATCCCCACGTCTTCCGTTAATGGCCGACTTTGAAGTGAGCCTCTTTTCCAGGCATCGGCATCCGCATTTGATGGTAAAGGTTGACTTGAGGCAGTAGTCTCAAAGTTGGCCTCTAGATCAGTATTGAATACGTCTAAATCTTTATGTGGACGACTCCGAGGCACAGGTTTCGGTTTATTGTTGAATGCATCAAAGTCAGCAAAGTTTGCTTCAAAGGTTTGATTTGATGTTTCAAAAGCTGGTAGAAGTGGAGCCTGAAAGGTGGGTGGTTTGTCTGTGGGGGGTAAAGATGGAGCTGGAAAATCTGGTGGCCCAGCTCGTGGTGGGATAGGGGGAGCCACCATAGTTGGAAGAGGTGGAGGAGAAAAACTTGGTGGCGGACATGTGAAGGAGAGGGTGGAGTCTCTTGACCCTGGGGGAGTCTCCAGATTCAAAGCCTGTGGGAGCTGGTTACTTCCAGAGAGGATATCTTTATGTGATTCCAATGGCGAGTCCATGGACATCAAGTCCCCAGCAGAACTTTTGTTCTTACTTAAAACCATCCCAGACAACCTATTGCTTGGCCATATTGCTTCATAGTTTGATGTCTGTGTGGCTGACTTGTCTTGGCTTTTAGGGGGATTTATTTGTGTGGATGAACTGATGGGAACATCAAGACAATTAGACTTGATAGCAAGGGGACTCAATTCCTTCTTTTCTGAAGAGACACGTCTGAATGGATCAAACATGTCTGTGATGTCAGCATCAGGAGGCTTGGTCATTGGTTTGAATTTATTCGACGCAGCCCTGACCAGGCGAGGGGAGGGGGGCACCTGGTCTAACAGCTCAGGGCCTGTAAGAGCACCCAGTTTGGTAGGGGAGCTTTCGTCATCGGAAGGAATTAGAGCATCTAAGTCTTCCAGTCTGGCGCGCAAGCTTTCGATACCTACTGAGCCTCGGATTGCACTACTAGACCCAAAACTTGAATTGCTTTTGCGGTTTTCAGTTTCGAGAAAATCACTAAGGGCACTGATGTCTGGGCCAATCTCTGTGTTCTGATAGATCTCGTCTGACACTCGTGGTGTTGTTGTGCTGTCAGAATGTCTGTCATTGCCATTATTTTGTACACAAGTGGTGTCTGCCATATTGGCAGCAGGCACAACATCTGTCTTATTGTGTATTGGTAGAATGTCCGCCATATTGTTCTGTTCCTTGGTCTCCTGTCCAGCAGGAGTGCTTGCACTGCTATCAAAAGATTTATAGGGTCGTGGTCGCGGCCTAGGCTTGGGCTTTGGTGGCTCGCTCAATTTACGCTCCCCAAGTGCTGATGTCCCAAAATTGACAGTGGTGCCCTCAAGTGGAGATTCTGTCAAGCCACCAGAGGGCATCTGTGTCTTAACATTTTGTGTGTTTGCATAAACTGATCCTACAGCATCTTCTGACTTGGTTAAAGCCTCATCATCCTCCGGCACTGTCTCTTTTGGAGACTGCACCTCATCTGAGAGAAAACTTTTCTTAGAGCTGCCACTGCTTTTTCTAGACGAGGCCCTATGTCGCGGCTGGGGCACAGGTCTGGAAACCACCTTGGGTGCAGTCAAAGGATCCTCGACAAAACTTCTTTTCTTTGGCGGCAGGATAGGTGGCGCCTCAGTCTCAGGCACATTAGAATACACAGCCTCCGTCTCGTGTCCTTCCACGTCACCTGACACCTGGGACAGATTAACATACTCCCGAGGTAAGTGGCTCAGAATCCTCTTCCTGTGCCCTGGAAGCTGTATTCCTATGTTCTGCAGCGTGATGTCATCAAGGTTGTGACACAAGGATATTTCCGTGAAGCCAGCTGCTTTTAGTGTGGAGACGTAATTTTCCAGATTGAGAGTCTTCAGCCAGGCTTCTACTGACGCCATTATGAAAGGATTACCTGGAAATAGTTAATAAATAGATATCACTATTCTGCACCACATAGGATTATCAGGAAATAGAAAGCTAATTGATTAATATTCCAGGTTGAGAGCCATTAGCCAGCATTAAACTGATGCCATTTAATGGGATTACCTGGAAAAAGAAACTTAATAAACTAATAAATTATTATATTATTACAGTTCTGTACACAGGACCAACAGAATTGGGTACACTAAAAAGAACACAAATATAACATTTGCCTTTTAGTGAGAGATTATATAGATCAACAGTAAAGCAGCTGCTTCTGTTTTCTAATTTCCTGAATAGCAGCACAGTTTCAAAACAGCTACAGATAAAATTTATTGTAAGGAAATTAACTTCTGGTTATAAAAAATCTATGTCTACCCACTGCCTTGACATTTTAAAAGGAACCTGTAACTTATTTACTTACACTGGCCGTGCCTTTCTATTTAGGTCCACTTTAGCAAAATTGACCAAGTCAAAGATAAATTAAAAGAATATCATGTACTAGTAGTTTCTTTAGCCAAAGGAAATCATACAAGTCGTGTGTTTAATGAAGTCCACACTCTAGAAACAGCTTAGTGGTAACAACAAACCTGTCCTCAGAGGAAATCTAGATCCAAAGTAGGTGACATACCTGAATAAAATTATGTGCTGATCAACTGTGTCTTATCATAAAGCTTCTGGACAAATTATTTGTATGTGTACATGTGTATGGTACAATCACATCATAGCATTAATATACAGATGAACTGCCAAAAGCACATGTTATACAAAAATAGGGTCCAGAACTTTGGCCCTGTGTTATGACTTACAATAAACTACATGCCGAGGTGAGAAAAATGTTAGTCAAAAATCAAGAAGTGAGGTTAAAAGACACGACTAACAAGTAAAGGGACTGACCCACTGTAGCAATATTATATGTAAACTAGCTCTGAAACAAACAGGATAAAAAATGTCACACTTAAGTGTTGATCTCCTTACAATAAAGATAGATGCTGTCATTTATGTCATGGTTACCAGAATAATGTCAGCTCCCTTTCAGCTTATTTTCTCTGTCTCAAAAACAGTATTTGATTAAGGGGTAAACAGTGTAGTAATATGCTACTTTGATCTCACATCAAATATCTAATGTTTCACACTGGCTATTGGCATCAGTCATAAAAGTGTGTGTATTAATTTGTAATTTAATGACACATTACCATTATTAACAGAAGTCACATGCTTACTTCAAGTATCATTTCCCACTTTTGCTAATATTTACCTGAAGAACCTAGCAAATCATTGAGCTGGCTTAAAATGGGCGCATTCACATGCAGCGCAATCAGACCACTCTGTCTGCCAGGGAATAATAATTATTTTTGGCAATCAAATCTTTAAATAGTCAGGGTCCAAAAGTTGGCTAGTGTTATATAAGATTATAACTTCCTCACTAGTCAGGTGCCTTACATGGGTTATTTCCTTGGGTTAGCACCTATTAGCATAGATTAAGTTCTGCCTACAATCACCTGTTCAGGTCACACCTAGAAGTCTGTGTTATTTTCTAATTATCTAATTCATTCTGTGCTAATGTTTATGCATTTAACTCAGGCCTCAAATAACAGGTGGGTGAAATAGGACTCACTACTTCCTTGTGTTACCTTCAAAGAGAATTCTACTTACAAATAGCCAAAGATACTGTTGTAACACACGCAATTGTTTACAGATGTATACCATTAAAAATAACATAAACATTGCTTCATAATATTTCACTGTACACCCCCCCCCCCCCCCCCAACACACACACACACTGCAACAACACTCTTGTAAGATAAACTTGACTTCCTTGTGATGTTAGGGACTAGGGTTAACGCAGTATATCTTAAACCTAGGGCAGCTTGCATGGCCCAAGTTAAAACTTTTAAAGACATAACACAAAGTGCGACAGCCCTTAGTCAGGAGTGAATGTGTCCAGCAAATCCTTATAATATGTATCTCACTGCTGTCACCTTTGACACTGTCCAATGTTCAAAAGACTTCCTTCCGCACATGCTGCACATGCTGTGATATTCTCGTTATATCAGTTATATCAGACAGGCACTGGAGAACTAGGTCAAGTAGTCCTTTACATAGGTATAGAATAGAACATGCCATGTGAGGTTATCCCCTTGAAGAGTAGCTGGTATGTACTAACTTCTCCTTGGGGTCCTGCTTTGAGATATATACTGTAATGACTCAATACTTCTACCAAAATCAACTGATAAAAATTTACAAAAAGTTTTTTTATTGAAAAATATTGATTAAAAAAAAAAAAATGACCAGTAAGTACTATATATATATATATCCTGAATTAATGTTATGTTTAATAATATGTAGATGTTAAAAATTTTTGCACAATCACTAAATGCATTTTTTTTTTAGAAGAAATTACATCATTTTCAGTAAATCAATAATTAATCAACAATAAGTAGTCAAATACTTCTTATTTATTTAAAATTACCATCTACTTATCATCTAGTTTCAAATGTTATATAAGTTATCTACTAACTAAGGTGTCTGTCAGAAGAATTCACACTCATGGCTGGGACAAAGAAAACTTTCAAATCTTATTTATAAGTAATCCTCTATTCTAAAACTGACTGGATTTCTTGCTATCTGGCTTTTTGTTATCAAAATTGAACAATGCCGCAGGTCATTAAGTAATGTTGGTAATTATAGTCCTGCATCCGTGTGCAAAGTACTGTCACATGAGTCATGTCGTCTTTCTGTCATAATGATAACAAAGCCTTTTTCTCACCCTAACATCTTATAGTTATACGTAAGAGTGGATAAAAGCTAAATGTGCTAATGCCTAACCCTACTTCTAATCTTTTCACATGACCTTCCTTCTAAAGGGTTTAGCATTTCCTATTGTATTATAAAAGACACAAAAGATCAATAGAAATCACTTTGGCATTTCCTGTATGACCAAGTTTCACTTTCAGTTTCATGAAAAGCAAGAACAATTTCAAAATGATGAATTTAAAATCTATCATTTTTTGGCCAGGACCTCAGTAGGTAAAGGAAATAAGTGAGTGTCAGTTTCATACATTTCTAACGTATGGAATTCTCACATATCTCTGTTCTCCATTTAGCCAATATCTGAAGTTAGCTGAAACAAGGAGTAATACCCACTCCCAGCATATCTGATTACTGCCTATTCTCATAATACAGGAATATGTTCATCTTAAAAAAATCTAATGTCCACAACAAGGTACCACAGACACCTGGCAGGTATAGTGTGCCTAATTAGTAAGCTTTTTATTTAATCTTCATCTCAGCTCTACATTATATGTAAATGATTCTTTATACATACCTTAAATAATATAATTACTGTCCATTCTGCTATTGCATGAATATTCTTTCACACTTACATTATAGTTACGGACGCCCAAGCGTAGTGATCTATACAAACTAATACCATGTCCTTTAACTCTTCCAAATGTTGTAGAGATTGAAATTATCAACCACTGAAACTGTACCTCGTGTATCCTAATTCAAGATAACAGTAGACAATGCTACGATTGATTGAAGAGGAAGATAGCACTCACTGTTACAGATATCTGGAAGACTTCATGGTATCAACAATAGCTCATTACAATATTAAACAATGTAAATATACCAGCATTAACTCACCCTCTTAAACATACTATTGTTTAATACTTACTAGTATTAACCACAAGTTTCAAATGGAGAAAATTACCAAAATCAAATTTTGAGTAATTTAGCCAAGAGTTTTCTGGCAAATGATATTTTACTCGAGGAAAAAAATTTTTTCTTTCTCACAAATCATTGTGAGACCTGTACCTTACCTAAAAATAAATGATTTTATGTCATTCCTAATTAAATAATTTAGTTCTAAATGACAGACCTGTCATTCGAACTGCCATGTCTTCCTGTATGTTTTAGAAGGAACTATCGATGGCCAGAGGTTTTATTTAAGAGGCCTTATCAATTTAAGGTCAAATTAGTCAAGATAGTAATTTTTTCAGGACACGTAGACAGAAAATATGACTGAAGGAAACTTTCAAATGTGTAATGTCCTCAACTGACATTATTTAACCGAACTTAATGCATACAAAAAAAACATATTTATTTGTCCTGATTTATCACTGAACACTATGCACCAAACTTGCTAGTGGTACTTGGTCATGTGCTATAATCTTAAAAAAAACATCGTTGATTTGGTCTGTTAAGTGTTTGTCCTGGGGTGACACTGGTATCATGTACTGTTATGTAAACAATAGACAAACGGGTAGCTTCAGTAGGCTAATATAGGACTACAATATAAACAAACGGATGCCTTCGTAGGCTACTAGTAAATATAGGAAAACAAAGAGCAGCAACACTGTTTTTTCTCAACATGTCCCAACTAGCTGTGGTCCAGTATTAACCACGTTTGGTCAGAGTTATAAATGGGACATCTCTTATATGAATCAAGTATAAGAAAGTACACTGCCCCATGCTATATTGACTATACTGAGTTGATAACTTACAAAGTCGATCAAACCTGTTGTTGGAATTAAATTATCACACTGGTTAAATCAGGATGACTAAGCGGGGTTCATATTGACTTAACACACGTTAGAAGCGCAGTTAATTGCTAAAAAACAAAATCAACAGATGTACTTATATACCCTCCACAGTGGTAGATACACGACATGCGAACTGCTGTGAGAATAAAAACAACTCATTAGGCAATGCTATTACATGTAGTACAGGGTACGATCGAATGAATCACGCTTCATTCAACAAATCTCCATATCAGTAGCTCGCGTATTTTGCTGTCCTCCAATTATTGCCAAAGATTTGATTAATGAAAAATTTTATAGCTGGTAAGTATGCCTTATTCTGAATACTTACTTTGAATGAAAGTTACAGTTTAGTCCAACTTTTGAAGATAATCTACGGAAAAGTTTGCCGTCTTCATAACTTCCTCATTTTCCGCCATCTTGTGTACATATGGAAAGGTCACTTCCTGTTTGAGGTCAATGGGCGTGGCTTAAATTAAGAACTATGACTGGATCAGAAGTTGGTGGCGTAATACGTTTTTAATACATTGTATTATGTAACAGAGGATGTGGAAGAAAATAGAATGATTTCATGATGATACTTTGGTACAAAATTGAATAAAAACACTAATAACTTAGTCTTTCAGCAATAAGTTATATATATTTCCATTTCAATAAAATTTAAATTAATATAAATTGAATATGGGCTGACTGTTTACACATTTTTCTCAAAATTATTAACAATAATTAAGTCAACTTCCATGATGCAGTCTTTTGAGCTTTTATTGAATATAACTTTGTACAAAAAATGTTATTGAACATCTTCATCAGAATATGTTAAACAAAATAAATCAGAATATTGCATCATTAATTAAGATGCAATGATAAAATCACCAATTTCTCATTGACTAGAATAGAATAGAATAATTAAGAACAAAAGAGAAATTAAGCATATTAGTTGTAAACTAAATAAAGATATTAAGCAGTTGTATGTACATCTAAAGTGCTAAAAAAGTACCACATTTATATGCAGTTTTTTTCTTTTGCTAACAGCTGAGAACTTTAAATGCAGGTCTTTATAAATAAACTGTAAATGGTAATGCTATCTAATAATGAACTACAGAAGGCCTGTATTTCACATGAATAGCTCTAACAGAAATTGTCAATCTTTGTCTTTTGAAATCAGTCATATATCAAATAATATTTAAACATCATATATCAAAGTCAAATTCATTGTCAAAAACATTTTAAATTGTTTCTATGCACTTTTAAAATGAAACTTGGTTAAACAACAAAAACATCTAAAAAAAAAAAAGAATGAAAAATATCAAATAAATACCCTTTGGTACAAAGAGAAAGTTTGAGTAGATGGTATTTAAGGAGAGCATGAAAACAGTACAAGTTGTCAAAAAAGTCTACCTTGGAAACCCTTTTTCTACTCCAAACTTTTTAATATCAACAGTTTCAAAAATCCTAATTTCTAATGGTTCAAAAACAATTGTGCTTCACTTTCAGAAAATCTGTTCAACTTAAACCACATATGCTCTGCCTTCCATGGTATTACCCCATGGTAACCATTCTAAATCTTAGTACCATGTAAAATACTGTGACTTCACTTTTTTTAGACCTAAAATTTGCGTATTACCAATAAATAATAAAGCACCAAATGTAAAACATGAATCTGGTAGCAGCATTTTTATTACAAGTTCATATCATAAAGATGTCCTCATTTTTTGCTTCTTTATTAGGTCTTTGTGGTCCTCTGTCACCCTAAATAGCATTTACCAGTTCCATAATGGAGCCGGAATTGTAGTCGTGGGTGGCATTTTAGGATTGGGCCAATCAGGAAGGCTGTGAGGAGCGAGAGTTGGTGGCCAATCAGGATGCATTAAAAAGTCACCTCTTGTTGGTTTGTAGCGATATGTGACACGGCGAGTCTTTGCTATATCTTCTTGTCTCCTTGGACCTTTTTCACCGAGAGTTTGGTAAGGAATCATCATATTGGGGAGGTTGGGGTTGGTGCCTAAGGAATCCATGATTCTACGAATGGTCTGCTCCTCTGTAAGAAAAAAGAAGAACATTTAAAATGCACCTTCAAAGTGCTGTGTGGAAATTTTATTTCAGAGCATCAGAATATAATTTACTTCCAGAAAGCAATTTGCGTCAGTTTTTCCTCAAAAAGATGGAGGATAAATAAATAAATAAATAAATAAATAAATAAATAAATACACCAATGGATAAAAATATAAATCAATTTAAATGAAATGCACTTAGTCTACCAGTATTACCTTGTATGCCTGCTTTCTTCAAATATCTGTGAAGAGATGCCACCATTGGTGCATGCCTGTTATCCAACTCTGGATCAATGACCTGGATCACACATATATTAATAATATATAAATACAAATCATGAATAAATGAGATGATATAGAAAAAGTACCATATTACAAATTAATTAAAATATGAAATAAAATGTATATATATTGTGTTCAAGAAATAAAAAATGTAAAACTCACCCCATCCTGTATTTTCTTCTCTATACCAATCCCATTAAACATATCTAATACTCTTCTTTTATCTAAAATTAATAAATAATAATTATAATAATAGTTATGTGTATTTTGATCTTTGTCAGGTTTGAGATTCTTGGTCTTTCAGTAAAAAAAACTGTTATCATACTTTTATTAACAAAACAAAACAAAGCAAAAATAAATAAATAAATAAATAAATAAATAAATAAATAAATAAAATAATAATAATGTAAACATCACATGAAAAAATGAGTCACTTTCATTTTGTATTGTTACAAAACAAAAATATGAGATAAACATCAAATGAAAAAAACAAGTTACTTTCTTTTTGTATTGTAACTATTCATTAGGTTTAAGCTTCTTACGTAGTAAATGTAAGATCTTGCGGTGTTGACTTGAAGAACATTTCCCCATCTGCATATACTGTATATTACAACTGAACTTGAAAATAAATTGCATATATCCTTCCCAAACTTTTTAATGCTAGCAAACGCTATATATGGTCTATATGAAGGTGTTTACGACGTATTCTACCCACTGTCGATATTTAGTTTCATCCAGAATAGACCTTTTTTAACCCCCCCTCCCCCAGATACGGGCGTGATGAATCACTCAGCGAGGGCAAGTCTGCTTAATTTGCACAAATTGTATGTCTATGAGCACTGTTCGGGGACAAAGGAAATGACAGGTACCAGATTAGATCTTCAATTATTTCTTCTTCATTGACGAGAGCTATTGAAAGGACAACAATTGACAAAAGGCCGAGGCATGCAGCATCTATTTCACTGGCTTGAAAATTTACCGGGACTTGCCGACGATGTGGTCGAACAATCGGAACAAGAAAAAAATTCTGTCGCATGATTTTGACGTATGGACTAAATGTTTGAGCCCAGAAAAATTAATTTTATAAAATAATTTTTGTGGTCGGATTGACTGGGCCCGTCGAAATGCCTGGCACATTACCGAAGTGGTTTTTGAGTAAAAAACTCTGTCATAATACTTTTATTAACAAAACAAACAAAACAAAAAAAATGATGTAAACATCAAATGAAAAAAATGAGTCACTTTCTTTTTGTATTGTTACAAAATGAAAATATGAGATAAAGATCAAATGAAAAAAATAAGTTACTTTCCTTTTGTATTGTTACTATTATGCATAGCTATTAGTGGGCTTTCAGTAAAGAAATTCTATTATCATACCTTTATTAACAAAACAAAAGATATATGAGATAAACATCAAATGAAAAAAATTACTGTTTCGCAAATTGCATATTAGATTTCAACCATAAGTTGTTCATTGAAAAAATAGTTCCTATGTGTACCTTTATCATTGGTCAGTTTAAGCCACGCCTCTGCTGCTTGAGCCTCTCGAGGGGGTAGAAGCTCTTCAAGTTGCTAAAACGTTAACAAACCAGGTGAATACTAGCATATTTATAAACAAAATGTGAAATACATTACATGCATAGTCGAATTTAATATACATAATTTTTTTTTCATTTTTCCTGATGTGTTTTTCAGAAGGATTTTTGTCAATGAAAACAAAAAAACTAACTAATTAATTACATTTCTTTACAAATAAATAAATTAATTAAACGGAATATTTTCACTGATATAGTCATCATAATACATTATATAATACAATTTATCAGTAACACTTACTTAAGGTTTTCAAATTTATAAAAATTAAATTTAAAAAGTATAAAATAATTTTTTAAAAATTCACCTCTCTATCTGCGTACTGTCTTAGAGCTGCTGTAGAAGTTTTTGGCGTGAACTTGGCTCGGAATTGGGAGCGATGCTGCTTTTCACGAGGAGATAATCCTGCACTGCCGTCAACTGTTAATATTGTGGAACACAAATATTACAATTTGTGTATACATTTAATGCTTAATCCTTAAAAAATCTGCTTAATTTTTATTTAAATTTCAAGTAAACTTATTAAAAAAATAAAAATTGACTTATAATAAACAGACCTATAGCCAGGCGGGGTTCGGGGGGTTCAAAAGAACCTCCCTTTTCGCTGAGAAAAAGTCCATCTGTGTATATTTGATTTAGGTAAACTTAGGTTTCATGACAAAAGGTCCACATTTTCAGAAAAAGAACCCCCCTTTTGCAATTGCTGGCTACAGACCTGATAAAAATACTCCTACTTAAGTTTGTTCTTGTTTGTGTACCTCCGTGGTTTTAATTTGTCAGTTTGTTTGTTTACATATTCATTCATCTCACAACAATAAAGATGCATATATATTTCACATGAATAAAAACAAGTATTGTTAAAAAAAAAAACAGCGGAATGGGGTAATAGTGAGTAAAATGCAGTACAGATAGTTGACTAAGAATATTACTAGGTATATATTTTAAACACAAAAACTATTCACCTCTGTAAACTTCCTTTCCTAGAGTGGCATCAGCATTGTGATAACCAGGGACATGGTGAAGACGACAGGTTAAGAACACTCTGAAAATAATAATAATAATAATATGTGTTCATTCTTATGATATTCTAAACTCAGGTGAATATATTAACAATGGGATATGAGTTTGTTTTAAAACACTTTTGTTGTATATTAATGCTCATTATACGTACTGGTGAGCTTTTCAAAACCTGCAGAATTGAATAGAACTTGGAATTAATAACAACCTGTGAAACCAGATTACTTTTAGTTGAGCTTAATTAGAATTTACATGGATATTGCTTTTATGTCGTATTATGCTCTTGAATCCACAACTAAGCTGATTACTTACAGTAAAATTGATTTCAACCAAGCATATGCTACTACATGTATTACAGATTACTAGTAGTTTAGTTAAAATGTACCAAGTTATACATGAAAGGGGTATTGACTATTGTTTTCCAATAATAAGGTAAACCTCAGCAACAATCAAAACAGGTGTACAAAGGATATTGCTAAAGCAGTGTTTGTTTTCATAAACAACTCAAATGTGAAATAAATATAATAACGAGGTATTTGATACAGAAACAATTATTTATCCAATTTTTGTGTATTTTTCCATATATATTTCATTTTATGTCAAAACTTTTTTTATTTAAACGGCTTATGATAAAATGATAATAGTACTGTCTTGATATTTATCACAGATAAATCATCATTGTACCTGGTAGGCATGTACATGTATATATGAAATCTGATTTAGAATTATGATTGATAAATGTACTAAAGATGATCAAACCGGACAAAGAAAATGGCACCTGTTGATTGCTAACCTGAAGATAATCTCGTGAAGTTATTGTATTATTCAACTTCTCATTTCCTTTTAATAACTATAATATTATATAATAATTATCATTTATGAGAATATTTTTTATATTTTTTCTACATATATTTTATTTAAAAAAAGTCCTAGTTTCAATCTTCTGTCCCTGTAGGCAGGTGTAGTAACAGTATTTTCAATGTTTTACCTTTAATAATTATATAAATAGATGATCGCAGGGTTTATTGTATATGTATAGTATTTAATACTTACAGAGGTGGGTGGGGGTTGTTTCTTCTATGAGCTGAGGTAGGACGGCTCGACGTGGGTTCATCTGAAATCTTCTCGTTATGAAAAGAGTTATAGGTGGTGGGAGAGCGGTCTGGCTTTGACCACTCGTACCTCGCTCTCTCCTTTATGGATTCTAAGGACTCCACGGGCACTGTGGGGCTTAAGCTAGCGCCACGCGCTCTCCTGGCGTCTAGTGGATACGCTGACTGGACCAGCCGAAATCTGGACACTGGGTCGTGATATCCTGGCATAATATGTGCCGATGCCATGCTTATTTTCTACTTCCAAAGTCCAATGATTATTTTAAATAAATATATTGTTATTGTAACAGGAGTCCTCTTCGATGTAATCTACTTTCACTGGTGCTGAATGACATTACACTACATTGTTTGGGTTCCGCATGGCAACAAATGGTACCCGGAAGCGATACTTAATTGAACTGAGACTGCGCAGATAAACACAACATCGGCCACCAAGCGGCGGTGATTGGTACTAATACAGGTGCGTCGACTTTTTGGCTCTTCGCACTTAAATCTAATCTCCTGTATATTCACTGAATGATTAATCTGAAAAAATCTAAAACTCGTTGGTTTATAAACAGATTTTTTTTTTACTTTATACTTTTTTTGCATTATCATTTTTTATTTTCACCGACTGTACAAATTTTAATTGTAAAAAATAATTGTAGTGACAACTCGTATTCTGATCAACCATGCATTTTTTGTACTAAGTCACTAATGGAATAAGTTTACTGGTAGTGATCTTGACGCAAATCAGATTTAAATCTGACATATCGAAGTCCTTTGTAACAACTAGAAAACAGGCGAGAACCCCTGGAAAGATAGAGCGGCAGAGGTAAACAGTCACCTCGAGTGTGTTTGTTGAGATTCCATACCCCAGTGGTGACTGTCAACATCTCAACTAATGCAATGTATTGGATGCGCTGCTTATTACTAACCCTATATCAACAGACTACAGCTACTTCTATGACTACAGGTATCTGACGTTATGAATGTGGTCATTCGACAAACCACTTTAAAAAAAACTTGTAAGAAAATTCGTCAGGACTGTTGATTCTTTAAAATAGTTTAGTGACTCAGAACAGAAGTATAATTATGCTACATATAAGAAAATTTAGAAAACGTTTTTTCCATTATTTTCTGTTATTAAAATATGTTTTCCCAAAGGTTGGGAAGCTAAACTCTCACACAAGTATCACTGCAGTGAAAGGAACACTGTAAGATTTTAAACACAAATTTCAAAATTCTTGTTGAACATATCTAAGAACAATTAATACTTTTTTAAATCATTTTTAACAAAAAATGCCTTGAATTTATGTTGCCAAAAACATTTATTTCATGACATCCTGACAAGTCTCCTTTCTTGTCAGCCATCTTGAAAGTTTTGAATGGCTCGCAACCTGGAGGTCAGTGATGGCCTAATTTGAAAAACCCACACCGAATTATTTGCTGACGACTTTAGAATTTTCCTGGTGAGGGTCAGGAGAGGTGGATGAAAGTTTGGTTAGTTGGAGAAAAGTATCATTTTTAACCCCAAAATTTGATAAGTCTCAACTTTTTTGTGAGAAAATATTGTGCTGGTCACTTTTAACCCATTTCCTGAAGATCAACAATTTTAAGAATCTTTACTGCACTTGTGCTTTTATCAAACAATTTCTCCAACACAAGCTTCAGCATTAAACTTAGAAATTGTGAGTTGTTTTTTTTTTTTACTTCAAAATCGCTTCAATCCCACAGCAGTGACAATTTTACAATGTACTTAAAACCAGACCCAACGTAAGTTTCTTCACCCATTTGCGAAGCAACAACTCATTGAAAACAAGGCTTTTAATTTTTACTTTCCACTTTTAATCAAAAGAACAGAAATACAGATCTTACAATTAGTAACATATTCTTCCACCAAAGCGTAAAATAGCTGCCTCGTCTTACAAATTTCAATCTGCTTATATTGTTTACGCCAACTGTGGACCACTAGGGGGAAGAAGATCGCACTACTTTCCACAACATAATAATACCGCACTCTTGCCCTGGTGCTGCACGAACAAGATCAGTCACTACTTTATTATGCTACAAAGGAAGATACAGTCTTTAGACTAATTCTAATGTTCTTTTGCTTACAAGATTTATTACGTGTGCCCATCACCACTGTTACATTTATCTACTGGCAAGATAAATATACTTTGAATAACTTTTTTTTTTTACAATGGCAGTTCTCCAGACTCTTATCATGCTGTTGTTAATTCATCAATGACAGCATTTCTTTTCTTAAAGACAAACACTGAAACACGAAATGTTATTTACAAATGTATCTTACAAAGAGCATTTTTCTTTTCGCCTTATAATACGTATATTACTAAGGTGTCCTTAAAAGGGAAGGTCCCTCCAGAAAATGCAGGTCATACAAGGATGATTGATGTCATTGTTAATACATTTTGTTTTTAATATTAAGCAGTAAATATATCTTACACATAAATAATAAGCAATCCCCTTTAACTCAAAAAAGTACAGGATTACAAATATAAAAGCTTCATTAAATGCCTTCATAGATGGTTCATTATCTACTTCTTACATCCCGTAAAAACCATTTCATTTCCTGATTATTTTGCGACTGTCAAAATAAATTATTCATGATGCAATGTATTGCCTCACTTTTTACTGTCTGTTAAACATCAAAAATGCTTTTCAAATTTAAAACAATAAAGAGATTTCTTTTCAATATTTCACACTTCCCATACAGAGCACTTTTATCTACTTCTTGCAGAATTCATACTTCTTGTATCATGTGTGCTTTTGGTTACAAAATAAGTAATTTTCAGTCCCAAACGTAAAGTTATTTTCGCTCTACTCTTCGTTAAGTACACACGTGCGGACCAGCAGCTCCGTAACTATGTATGGATCACAGTTGGAGGCTGGTCGTCTGTCCTCCAGGTAACCTTTGCCGTCTTCTCCGACCTGGCGAGGGATACGGATGCTGCAGCCACGGTTGGCAACACCGGCAGAAAAGTCGTCAAAACTGGATGTCTCGTGGAGCCCTGTCAGACGGCGTCTGTTGTCCTGTCCGTCTTTAGGATCGTACATTCTGATGTGCTTCTGGTGATTTTTTGACAACCTCTCAATAGCATCTTCAATGACCCTGAAAGAAGATAATAATTGGGGCATTAATCTATGTCTTGAAAATATCAAACAGGTGATTTAATTGGCATTAGTCTTTTAAAGTATCTAACAGTGGCTCAAAACTGCTATTTTATAATTTCTGATATTTAAAAATAAACTTGTTTAAGAAATATTGAATATTACATCAGACCATATAAAAGACAGAAGTATTATTTCTTTAAAATAATTGAAATTGTAAATAATTCAAAATTTTGGGCTTCTTGTTTTTAAAATAATCCACACTGTATTAAAACAAAACTGTGACCTTGCCATTTCATAGATGCACACAGACATTTATAATTTGTTAACATGGTAGCAGCTTTTTGCAAGCATTGTATGCAGGCCACATATAGCTGAAACCACAATAAATCCTCAACAACGCAAAATATTGATTTTTCTGATCAACCATTATATTGCACATGGAACAACAGGGTCAACTTCTATTTTTGTACTTGGACTTTGAACCTACTTTAATGTCCACAGAGAGTAATGGAGAGTGGTTGATTACTATAACAGTCTTGTGCAGTGGACCATGCTAAATTAAGACTAATGTTTCCAGGAAAAGTGTTTATTTTTCTTCCCAGTGCAAAGACTTTAAAGTGCACTGGCGAACACAGAATACCAAGAAGAGGGGAGGGGGGAGGACCCCTCTCTTAATCTTCCTATCAGTGTACATAATTATATACATCTACAACAGTCAAAATCTCTAAAGCTTGCTCATCTACAGAGCCCACAAAATGCCCAGATGAAATGTTCTCAGATTCACCCCTAAAACAGCTGGTAAAAGAAGGAAAACAAATAACTGCCCACAGTAAACAGGAGATCCAGACCCTGACCTCATAGCACCCGGTCCTCAGGCATCAATATTGACCACAATTCCCATCAACTTGTGATGACTGCACTCGTACATAACCTTCATGTATTTTCATAACAAATAAATAAGGTAACAGTGGGAAATTACAATAACAGCAATTTGTACGAGAAAGATGATAATTTTCTAGTGGTCATGTGAGGTGGAGTTTTGTTAGTTATTAGAGAGTTTCCGTTGCCGGTGAGATACGCCGGCTAGATTAATACGTCATCGGTTTGTGCGCACTTGTGACGTTCACCGCATTCATATACCGTCGTCCAATCTAGTCTGCGGAATACAAGCGCTCCTATCTAGCCAGTGAGGAAGATTATTGAAACTAGTTATTAAAGGTTATGTTTGCTAATTTATATGACTTACATACTTTTTTACCATAGTTCAAGTGTATGTTCATGCAAATTTCGACTTTTTAAGAGAGAGGAGGCGCTAATTTTGGTTTATCAGGCACGTAGTCGGGGGTTGATCTTACTAACCGCCATATTTGTCGGGAAAAATTGCTCTTTTGGGTAATATTTGTCTCCTTTTTCATAAAAAAGAATCTTCACCTTGGAAATAGATGGCTAAGGGGTCGTATATTGTTAATTATATTGGAATGAGCGGGGCGGGAAGCGCCAGCATTCCGGGACTTTACCGGAACGAGAAAAGAGTAGCGCGTTACTAGATACATTTGCACATACGTAACAATCTAGCCGTCGTATCCCACCTGCACCGGAAACTCTCTATTACACTAGTCAGCCAAACGTGAGCAAGGTCGGCTGCAAGGCCATGGTCAGCTGTTGTTTATGTGCTCAGACTACAATTGCTTGGTTGCCATTTAAGGTGACATTTTTTTTCTGGAATGTTTTTCCAAAAATAAATCCTTTCATAGCGTTTTTAAGTAAATAAATCCTTTCATAGTGTTTTTAAGATTTGGGGTTCAGATATGAGCAGCTTGCTTCAACAGTTTTTTTTTCTTTAATTTTTTACAGGGATTATGCTGATAATTGTTCTGAAATGCAATGCCATCCAGGCCATTCTTATCCAGGTTCTCCTTGCCACGTAGTTCACAGATCCAGGCAATTCACACACTTGATAATCAAATCACTTATCAAGATCCATGTTTAGAACTCTACACTTCATCTTGTCTATATATATACAGCACCTCTTTAACCTAACCTTTACCATTTCAACAAGATCTCTCAACTATCATTTCTTCTCTATATTTACAATCACTTCAGTCTGTTTGCAATAACTGATAACTAAAAGGAATAATTGACACCAGGTGTCTCGACCAGGGCGACCCTGCACAGGTGATAAAACACAGGGGAGGCGACACCTTTAGCCTGCTAAAGATAGCCCGTCCACCCAACTACCACTCAACTACTAGACTACCACTGAACTATAGTCAGCTAGCCTGGATATTGACTGGTGTATGCCAATGACCTACTACCACCTTTGTCAGTTTCTAATCAGGACAACTGAAAATAGCTCTGTTACAGAAACAGGTCATTGACTTTATGGTAACGACTCGTTTTTTGCAATGGGAAAAAAACGATCAGTCTTTCAGATGCATAATTAAGAAATCTTTAAAATACATTTCTGTGTGGCATTTGTGGAGCTTTTAATGTATAAAATAAAACTATACTGTTCCAAATTTTTTAGATTTCTTCCAATTACTCCATACAAATGTTGTGCTTTAAAAATGTCTGACTTGAAAAAATACACTATCTGTAAAATTCCCAAATTTACCCTCTGAAAAGATTGAATCGTTACTGTTTATTATCTGGGTCACATCACAGGAAGTGTTCAAACCTACGCCTAATGCCACCTCACTAAAGCATGCTGCAAACAAGAGTTATTTTTTAATTTGTTTTAAACCTTGGATCAATATTTTGAGTTTGTCCAAAGGCAATTTACTGGTACTGTTATCAAATCAGGTGCTCCCAAGTTTAGGCATGAGATGATAAATTAACTCTAAAAAAAGTGCTGTCCTGCTTTCTAGTCCACATTAGGGTACTACTTCCTTTGCAAACCATGTGATAAAAAAGATATATCTATATTTGAATGAGCATTATAAACTGGTTTTATAGTGTTTTTAGCCCACAAAATATTATCTTCACATTACAAAACAGTCTAAATAAACAAAAAAAATTTATAATTCAATGCAAAACATGTAGAAATAAGAAAATATCGCATTTACAATCTACAGCAGCTGACCTATAATACTGACATACATATAACTGACCTTTCCACAGCGTGTGTGATGTGACTAGTTAGTGACTAAAATATGAATGAACAGGCAGCACAAAGACTTCAGAAAATAACCTACTCCACATACCGAAAGTACAAGCTAGTTCAAAGCAGGGCACATAAATTGATGTAAAAGTAGGTATTAGCATTGGTTATATGCCAAATACTGTTTTCACATCCTCAAACAATCTAAATGATAAATGAGGTAATTAAATTTTAGAAACGATTCAGGCATCATCTCAACAACAACATGACAATTTTTGGCAGTTCATGTCAATGTCAACGGAAGGCCATGGTTTTAAAGTACATTACGTATATATTTCCTACTAAGTTCACCAAGTACAACCTGTAGTGTGGCAAAGTGTAATTTAATTTAAAAGAAACTTAACCTTTTTACACAAACATTCTTTAGATTTAGTCACTTTAGTAATGCTCTTTGTCCTAGCAAAGAGTTATTTGAGGGCACGAAAACTGGTGTCATCGACCTCCCAATTTTTTTTTTTGTGAAGTTGAGGCAGTTGTTGACATTTCAAACTTTTAACTGGTTCCACATGCTTTTTTTATGTTGCCCACAACTTTACATGGACCTAAAAAGCTGAATACCAGTTCAAATATTTTTATCTTTGCAAACATGCCTTAATTTCAAACTCCAGTTCACAAACAAAGACCCCTATAAACCTAAATTTTCCTTCCCGTCCAGCAAGCTCTCTGGAAATTTGCCAACTTTTCAAAACCAGCACATTTTGTATTCACAGAACAATCACTTCATACTTTAAGATAATGTTTCTGACCTTCTACATGACAGGTAATGCAATTCTAACTCACTCAAGTAAGCCATATGGCCTGTAATGCTCTGTACGGATTGTTATTTATGCAAATTTTGTCTTTTGGTAATCAATTTCAGTCCCTCTAAAATCAGGACACAGCCGCTTCCAGGTCACCCGCATTAAGTGAGAGGTAATTTACTGCATATTCAGAGCATGTCCAGGGGTCTTCAAGCTTTAAGCATTGGTGTTTCAATTTTTTCTTAACAACTATTTATTTAATTGCACTTAGGTCAAGGTCATTAGTTACTCTTAAACTAGTTTCTGTCAAAACCCGTATTTTTCTCTCAGGTTAATGTACAAGAGTGATGCTATCGTACAATTATTTTAAATGTGTCAGCACTTATCAACTTGTTTCTAGCCCAAAAATGTTATTGCATGTTACAATTGCATACCATGACTGCATTATGACAATTTATTGCTTGTAGAAACATTGAAAGGTCAAAATAACAAGGACCATGGGTTATTCAGCATGTACTTTCATAAAAACTTTCATAATAAAAGTTACGAAACATCCCATAATTTCAGATTTTTTTTCTTCACCTTTCTTTCCATAAATTGTCTGAAGGTTATGCTCCTACATTTAATTTATAAAATCTTAAAACATTTTTTGCCGTATGCCTTCACTAACAAAATAAATTTGAATATATAATCATTCTTTTTTTTAAATCTATCAGATTTGGTCTAAATTGTGATTTAGGATAGTTTGCAAGTTAAAAAATATTTTTCACACATGCATAAAGAAACCTGTTAATAAATAGCTGAAGTCAAATAGTGGGGAAGTTTTACAAATCATCCAATGTCTGAGTAGCATAACCAATATTTTCATAAAACTCCACCCTTTAAAACATTCAGAAATGAAACAATTCTTATTTACTGTCCCTACATTGCTACACTGTTGCATGCTGAACTTCAATATTCCTCCACTTTCAAAGCAATAACACATAAGATAATAGATGCTTCAACAGAAGATAACATTGAAAGCGGGAATGGACTTTCTACACCTGCCGGGAACTGAAGACCACTGCATGGTTGGTGGTTTTGCTGGAGGATATCTTATCATTGCTCTCATCATGTCCAGTGTAATGTAAGAACAAGTGCCCCTTATAGCTTATCAGCAGCAGAGCCTGAGGTCAGAATTGAGCAACAATGGCTAATCACATGCTTGCTGTAATATCTGCGACCTCTATCTATCATGTATGCATTATTCAGTAACGGAGACTTCCGCCAACGTTACTAGCTATTTATTTCCACCTCTCTTTACGTTAACAATATTTGCATGTGACAAATATACCAGTCTGGGGCAAGGTCACTTTATAACTCACAGACATGATGCAAATAAAACTTCTTTAAGAGATATAAGAGCAACCCATTTGTGCGACGGCCAGCCATAGTTGAATTCAGCAAAGTTTATTAAGCACCTAAACAGAAGGCTCAAACTGCGTAAATCTGGGGGGAATTTTTTTTTTCTATGACTTACTTGATTCCTCCCTCATCTCTCATGGGTTTTGTGCTGAAGTTAGTGTGAGCACCCGCGCCGTTCCAGTCCCCAGGCATTGGCTTGGGGTCCAGGGTGACGATGATGCCGAAATCTTCAGCCACACGATGTAAAATGAAGCGTGCCATCCACAAATGGTCACCCATCTCGATACCTTCGCAGGGGCCCACTTGGAACTCCCACTGAAAACAAGTCAATCACACGTTAAAGTTGTGTAATAATCTTAACTAACAATCCTCCATATATTTTTATTTATTTACTATAACTTTATAGATTTAAAAGAGCAATGTTTCCTAAACTGACAGGCCCACAGCCAGCAATTTCAAAAGGGGAGTCCTTTTCAGAAAAAGTGGATCATTAACCATGAAACCTAAGTTTTATATTACCTAGAGCAGTCCTTTTCCCCAGGCAAAAAGGGCAGTTTTTTTAACCCTCTCCCCTTTCCTCAACCCACCTGGCTAAGAGCCTGAACTGCCATAAACAACATCCACATTAACCAATGTGATACCTCAGTGAAAGGATATGACATGAACTGTTCCTCACATTGAATATCTGAACATACCTACAATCACCACCAAGGTTGCCTTAGTACTATCTATACGTACTTAAGATGCTATATAACTAACCACTACATTAACATGCTCAAGTACAGATCTCACTTTTTATACTGACTTACCTGGGCGGGCATCACCTCTGCATTTTCACCGGCAATTTTGACTCCAGCGTAAAGACACGCCCTGTAGTGCGCCTCCACGACATCACGCCCATACACCTTGTTAGCACCAACGCCACAGTAGTAAGGACCTGAAGAATTTTTAAAAATTCAACTTCAATCAGCAAGAGCCTTTTCTTACAACAGTGTTGCCGAAGACCTTTTGTCAATTTTTTTCCGTTTAATCAACTTAGATTCATGAGAGTAAAAACATGGTAAATCTGAAATTTATAGCTTGGGACATCTTCCCGATTAATTCCAATTGGAAACTGTATTCATGTGACAAGCATTCAAGTGGGTTGGCCGTATTGATCTGTTTGTCGGCTGTTCTGAAAGCCTGAAAGCGCTTTTTTTTTAACCTTGTGGTCCTGGGTATCCATTCTTGGGCCAGCCGTATGGATGTCCATCTTGGGCCAGTAGAGTGTATTCCTGTTCAATTCCAAACCATGGCACTGACTGTGCCCCCTTGTCCATCACTGTTTTGCAAGACCATCTCTTGTTACTGTCTGTCAAGAGAAAAAAGGGAAATTTTGTAAATCCAAGCAGCTTTAAAATAAGAGTTTATTTTCCGCTCAACCAACCTTTACTGATATATATTTTCTTATTGAGCACAATCTTTTTGCAATCCCAGGTGTAAAAGACAGTTTACTTTTTTGCTAATTTTGCTGTAGAAACCTTATACTGCAATGCAGAACTTGAGAATGGATCTATTTGCTCATGGAATAAGAAAACAATTTACTGTACTGTAACTAGAGAATGTTGTTGAAAAAAACACACACACACACACACAAACAAGCTTGCACGCACACATACACACCTGCCGTATTTGACACCAGAAGTTTGAGTGTGAAGTATGTTAATTATTCAGACTGTTGTCATAAATATGTCCCTAACTGGAGGATACGACAGCTGTTGACGTTGACTACACGCCTCACACCCTGATGACACCAGCCTCCACCCAGATACAATATCTCGAAATTTAGCTTCTGATAAATAAGTGAGCAGAAACAAAAAGAAATAAGAAACTTGGAAATGTTAATCAGCTTGTATGGGCGATGTTACCCTTTGTATAAGAAGTCATTTGTACTGGCAGGAAAACAAAAAATTTCAAAAATTTACTATTATATTTCTGTATCAGGCAAAGAGCTGCTGCGCTTTATCTCTGTGAACTAAATTCCTTCCAAACATGAAGATTATTCTGACCTTGGCTATTGAGAAGTTACTTAAGAATCTTGATTTCTACTAAAACTAAGGTAGTGGGTCATCAGAATTACATAAGTCAAGCTTGGATAAACACTGCAAGACAACCCTATTTTCCCAAGACTAATCTATGGAATGGAGAATGATCCAAAAAAGATGGGACTTTGGCCAAAATCAACAAAAACATAAATATTATGCCTGAGCAAGTTCTACATGCCGTAAAGTGGCCTTATGGATAAAATGTGCAGACTTTGCAGACAAGATGAGAGAAAGGTTGTTGAGAGTTCACCCATCACGTCAGCACTGATGATCAGCCCCTAAAGACCTTTCCTTTAATTTTTTTTTTCATTGTTGTACCTCTTGTTGCACTCTCCAGAGCAAGGAATGGTGTCCATTTTTACAAAAGCTAACAGGTGTCAGCCCAGTCCAAGCCACATGCAGGCATTATTATACAAATACTTTATTAACAAGCACAAAATCCAAACAGACAAATAGGTTTGTTTGCTGTTATAGTTAAGACCTGGATTCTAATACACCTTTTCTTCTACACAAATTTCAACTTGGCTATTATCCCATTTAACACAAAGCAAATAGATGGGGAAATGTTATAACTATACCTGTCACACAAATAGTTCCTGCAGAAAAAAAGATAAAGTAAATAATGAATCTCTAAAATTGTGGCCTCTATCATAGGACAAAATTTTGACCACACAAATAGTTCATGCAGAAAAAAATAAAATAAAATATAAAAAATAAATAAATCTCTAAAATTGTGGTCCCTATCTCGGGGAAAAAATTTTGACCACAAACTCACAGACCAGCACAGCAAATGACTTGCGAAAAAAATTTTTTCGCAGGTAAAAATCTTTCCCGAATCCAACATGACCTGATGCACCCACCTGTTGGCTTCTTGTTGTATTTGTAAGTTTCACAGAGCAGAAGCTTGTTTTTGCCACCGCGGAAAGGATCCTTGAACAGCCTGGCGGGGTAGAGGTAAATATCTGAGTTGGAGCCCTCTGCCTGGTATGTACTTGACCCATCAAAGTTCCATACTGGACACTCTGCAATAAATATACATCTCCTCATGAGAACACATGACAATGTATTTATTTGACAAATTTTAATCAAATATTGTTTCTGTTAAAATCTGTTAACCAATAAAATTTTCCTTTCTGTTGTCACGTATATTGCATTTGATCTCAAAATGTTGTAAGTTACAGTTAACCGAACCCCCACCCCACCCCCCAAAAAAGGGGGAAGCGGGGGGGGGGGGTTCATGTATCAGAGCACAGGTATTTTCTTCAGAGAATTTCTACAAATTACAGTCCTAATACTACAGGTAACACACACACATACATTGACTGCAACAAGATGCTATTTCCTGCTGTAAATGGAACTCAACCAAGAAACTGAATGAAGCAGCGCCAGCCATTAAGGAAAGATTAAGTGTTGTACCAGCCATTAGGGAAGATTTAGTATTTTAAGGCAGAAAATAAAACATAAGCGGATAAAGTAAAATTCCAGGCATGGAAAACATGGTAGGTGGTTTATAAATCACCCATCTGTAAACACACAGCTATGTAGCGTAAATGACCAGTATAGAAATATTTCCTGCAAAGTGATTTTCCAGGTATTTCTACACACTCAACTATAAAAGTAGTTTGTGATTGGAATAACATATGGGATTTGATAATTAAAACACTGATAATAGGCGTGAGAGCATTTATGGAACTGCATGTATGACTTGATTACTGACAGATACACTAGTATCTTTTTTGTGACAATCCATCCAACATAATAACTGTAATAACATAATGAAAGTATTTTGTATATAGCAGTTATTTCTTTGGTAATAAAATGATTGTTGATGAAATAAGAGAACTCCAATTATATCCAAACTATACAGCCTGTAGAAATACATTAATCTTTGGATTTCTTGAAAAAAAAATTTTAAAAATTACTGATAACATGGACACACAGATATATGTCAAATTTTTTTTCGTTTTTGAACATTCTTCCGCCACTAGGCTGATAGTTATATAGCTCACGTGTATCACATATCACGCGAGGTTTCCTGAATCACATGCATCATGCGTGGCACACTTAGCCTCAAGCAACACCTGTGCAATGTCACTGCCAATTCAGGACAGTTGCAGAGGGCACGGAGCTTAATCTTTCTGGAATTACTTATCTTCTTATTTCATTTTTTAAGCAGCCACAGTTAACCTTCCTACCCCCCACACCTCCTTAAAAGAATCCAGAATCTTTCATTTTTTTTCGTAATTCATTTTCAGTATGTAGACAAATCGGAGACAAATCCCATAGCCATTTAATTCCTTTTATTTGTTAAATATACATATGGTTTTGATTTAACAAATACTTTTTTAGAGTTAAATCGAATCCCCCCTCCCCCCCTTCTCAACATATCACGAGAGTGGCATGCCTGCATCTCCTCTTAATATTAATAGAAAATACCTCACTTGTCTATCGCTTTAAGTCCTACTGCAGGTATATGTGTGTGTGTGCTTGCAGTAATGGATTGTAAACATTACGTTTCCAGAGTAGCAGTTAATCAATTTGATTACAACATTTTGTGATGTTCATTTCAGCCTGTGTGCAGTCTATTTATGGCTGAATTTATCATTTTGATTCTTGAGGTTGTTAATTTTTTTTCTTTTAGTAAACTTGTTTACTCTTCTAGTGGACGGGGCTTAATCATCGCATATTTCCAAAGTTCATCAAGAACACATTTTTCTCAAAATAATATTTAGTGAGCAAAACATGTCCAAGTTGTTGCTGAGCACCAAACCACCCCTTCAATGGCTTTTCAATTTCCACAAAAGGTTTGTAAGGACAAGACCAGTTGTGGCTTTGTAAGGACGTGCCCAAACCATGCAGCATGAATTTATAAAATAATGACGCACTATTGCTTCCACTGTCCTCTCAAAGAATGGACATTTGGCCAAAATCCATCACGAGTTTGCTTGATAATTTGCCAATGTCAAGACTACAGACCAGCATTATAATATCATGAACTGATAATAATCCAAACTTTGCACCAAGAAGATTGTTTTCAGTGTTAACAAACTGTGTCTGTCCCTTTTTTTCCCAGCGTGAGTTATTGGTCCTTTTGATCAAATATCACGCGGACCCTGCGTGACTACACGGGGTTCGGTAACCTTAACTAGAACAGTCCCTGTAGGTCACCAGACTGTATTCAAATACCTGAGTATGTATGTCTGGCAAACCAGACATATACTATTTGCATATCTTCCATACAATTTCAGCAAAAATTTTCCATAACAAGTTTTAGTGCTTGCCAAACATGCAGTTCGTTTACAAATTTGAAAGATGGTATGCAGCAATTTACACATTTGGTATATGGCAGGTACATGAACTTCCATGCTATTCAGCCTGATGTGTTGTGCAAAATAGTATTTTTTTTTTTTAGCAAAAAATTCATATATTTTGAAATAAAAGAGACTGCTTTCATCAAGTATTTCAACACCAAAACAATTGATCTTCAATGAACTTCAAAATGACCCTGTGGTCAGCGTTAATTTATGATAATGTACTTACAGGAGCTATTTAGATATTCAATGATTAATTAACATCTTTAACGTGATAAAGTAATGTCTTCTTTAATATATCAATGCATCCCACGTCAAGTGATCTACAATTTAAATTTAATGCATCTTTTCATCAGCTAGTGCGTCATTCAAAATCTGACTGTCATTATGCTCATAAAAGACCTTACAAATGACAGTTTTACTTCTCGGGAGCCGCGATCATTTCATCACTATATCTGATCTACATGTTCTCAGAAGTCAGTGGAGATACGGGGAAAGGGGGGGGGGGCATAGCAGAGAGCTAACAAACACCCAATTAGTCAGACTTTCGATTAATTGTAATAAAACCATTGACTTCCTCTACTTAGTAAACACTTATATGTTGACAACTGTGCTGAATCAGGGAATTATATTGTAGATGTCTATGATATTATTCCTTGGTTGAATGCAAACTTAATTAGTTTATGGTCAAACTTCATATATATATTTGGCATATCATTATTAAATGGTGCATCTTCTTAAGCTGTCTTGTTATGATGATTCTGGCAGTAACTACTGAATTATAAATGTTTCATTAGGACAAAAAAATCTTGAAAAAATATAGTGACATCATGTATCAAAACAAGAGAACTGAGACAGTCAAACTGGTTATGTCTCGACTTCATTAGTTAACATGTGAAATTAAAAGCACGTTCACCTTACAAATGGGCTCTTGAACATCAATGTAGCATTAAGAATAGGCAGTAAGTATTTATAGTGGCCTTTTAAATATGCAGACAAACATTTTGAAAGTTTACAGGGACGGTAGGTAGGTTTCTATAGTGTCAAAGAAATACATTAGATCCCAGACACTATTTCAGTCTCTGACATTATCCACTGTCCCTATGCCACCAGCCAGTAAAATTTCCGTTTGAACCAGCAAGTATTTCAGGATGTGTGAATTTAGTGGTCTGACTTGGCCATTTATAAGTTTTCAAAAGAGCTTTAGGTTTAATTCCAACATGATTCCAAATCAAAATTTTAATTTTGAAAAAAAAAAAAAAAAAAAAAAAAAAAAAAATCAAGATCTTGTCATTATAAATATTGATGCAATACAGGTAAATGTCCAGATCACTTAAAATTTTCATTCGGATCAGTGAATTCTGATTCAGACTAGTAGATTTTTTATGGAAGTGGTGGTCTGCATGGCCAGTAAGCTGTGAAGTTTTTGGTAAAATGCTATTCAGGACATTTCTGCCGTGCAACCTTTCAGGCCACAAACACTGGCTTTCACACCACAGTGTCCTTCATTAAACAAATAACATCGGAGACTTGGGGTAACTTTGCACAGCCAAGAATCAATTCTACTATCTCTGGAGGAGACGCGGATCTCTGGATTTTTGCATTATTCTGTTAATATTTAACATGTTAAATTAGTTTAGTACACGCAAACCAAGCTTGTGTAACTGAAATTTATTGCTGACGTGTATCTTCACATCTTAGATGTCTTCCTGACCCAACTTATAAAACAAACAGGTTCTTTATGTAAAACAATATAGTTCCTGTTGTAGCAGGATATAGATGTCTATAAATGCACAGGCCTGAGAACCATGTACTACTCAAAATACATAGTTCTATTGTTGAACTTGTTATCAGTTAATAGAATACATTCCCAATGAGGCTAACCTTCTACATAGATCAATCCAACTGTGTAGGGGTTCTCGTTGAATGCAATCAGATTAACACAGTTTTTGTTTCCAATGTATTCGTATAGACACCAGCTTTTCTGTATTTAACTCAACACTAGGAAGAGGCATGTTAACCTGTTCACCTGATTGCATTCCGTGAGAGTCTCCAAGGAGTTAGATCGATTTACGCAGAACAATAGTTTCATTGAAAATGAGCCCATAGACTAAAACCTGAGAACAAAGAGGTCCAGACTAAAACTTTGTCCACATCAGCTGCTCTGCAGGCAAAATACAAGTATATCTGGCTGGGGTACATCAACATAACATGCTGTTACACATGCGTTTACACATAACAAATTTTCGGTGTTCACAGCAACTGAAACTGGCTGAAATTGGACTTTGAACTATCTGTATTCACTTAGCAGGGAGGCTCAGTTTGGTAAGGGGAACTAGGGTTATAACCTCTTATAACAGGTATTTGTTAAACATGTCACCTCAGAAAAATAAATTAATATCAATTATGTTTAATGATTAAAATCAAAACATTAAAGAGAGGCAGCTGTGCAATTATTTAATGCATGAAAGTCTCCAACACACTTAACTTTAACTTTCTTAAGATGATCAGTATTTTCATCTTTGGGTGTATTTGATTTGTGTAATGTTTGATTAATCTTTAGTGTTCAAGCTTTCTGCACAGCTGCTGTGTCCATCTGTTCTTTTTTTTTTTTTTTTTTTTTTGAATGAAATGCAGATGGGTGTGTGGCAATATACAGTGAGAACCACAGTTGATATTTAGGTTTAATTTGGTCATCATCTACTGTTCTAACAAATGGCTACCAACTGTGATGAAAACAACAGGTCTCTCTTTCTGAACTTGTTGCCCAAGATATAATAGAAGAGAAGTAGTTTTGTCCAAAATGGGCCCAAAGATGACAGGTGTTTTATAAGACTTGCTTTACATAATCAATGCTTGTATAACTTGATTCATTGCTGATATACATCAAGACAGCAAGTGCCCCTCCCCTTTCCTAACCTGACCAATTAGAGATCTAGACATCAAGTGCCCCTCCCCTTTCCTAACCTGACCAATTAAACATCCAAGTGCCCCTCCCCTTTCCTAATCTGACCAATTAGAAATCTAGACAAGTGCCCCTCCCCTTTGAGGCTTTCCTGACCTGATCAATTAAATATTGACACTGGCTTTTCTAAACCACTAACTAGCTACTGAAGCAGGTTGACTTTGCAGCTCATGTGTCATGTGTTTAAGACTGTAAACAAAACATTAAATTGCTTGCTGTTCCCTTGGTTCATGCCTGTAAACATGACTGATTTCTATACTTCTTTCCACTTAAAGCAATTCATGCCAGTTCAAACTGGATTTTGAGCCAGGGATGCCTTCATTCACTTTCCAGATAGATCCAGTTAATAAGTAATGAGTTAATGGTATGTGGTAAATATTTAAAGGATCAAAATCAGCCTCAGAAAAGAAAATGTCAAGGAAATCATCCGCGACAGATATTAATCCCACACAGAATAGGGGTATTAATATAAATCATTTCTGTAAGACCTATGAATATAAATCAATTGAGGACATACCTTCTGCAGCTTTGGGCTCAAAATCTAACGTCTTGGTCTTTGCTCTCAGACCTTCCCCAGTGCCATCTATCCATACGTACATAACCTGTACTGCATCATCTGGCTGTGGGCAGAACTTCAGGTAGTTACGGAGGATGCTTTTGTCCGTCTCCGATGATGTCAGTGAAAGAGCCATACTGCGATATCTGAAATATAACAAATATTCACATAACAAAATAAACATTGAGAACAATTGGCCTAATCCCTTAGTCTTCTAAGCCCAATGGAGGAAAGCTTCCCAAGAAAAATCTTCATAGGCCATTCTGAGTTTCAAACTTGACTGTTGTTGATGACCACGAAGCACCAGAAAATCAAACTCAACAGAAATCTTAGAGGTATGAACTGGCTTTCCTACATATGCCAACACCAAAATCCAAGTGATTTTTTTAAGTAAGCTGCCCATTTTTGACCTATCCTGAAATTTTTGTCAAAATCTTCATAACTTTTAAAATTAAGCTTTAACTAATGAAACCAACATAGGCCAAAACTTTTTCCTCCTTGACAGGGGTAATAAACAATTAAAACTTTCCCTACATTTGACAACCAAGCAAAGTCAACCTCGTGTTTCAACTTCTTCCAATATGTTGCTTACCTAGTAGCTCCAAAGCGCATTTCTTCACAACACTGACCAGTACGATAAAGTGCATTTGAGTTTACCTCTACTGGACTTCCTATAAATATACCCTGGACTGGTAAACAGGATGTGTTACATGCTATATTTAGACATAACTCCACCCACATTTGTGGTCCACTGGTAAACGTGTTATGTAACACACCATATTTGGACATAGCTCCACCCACAAAAAGGTTAGGCCCCTCCCATCAAGCATGGTCTTGATTTGAGCCTAAAAGTGCACAGTGGTCATTTTAACCTCCATTTATCAACTGTGACCTAGTAAATTACCCTTGACAAAAAAACGTGGAAATGTGGAGGAAAACAAGACTTACCCTGCACTAAGTATGTTATTTCTCTTAAGTGACAGGTACTGTCAGCTTTTTTTTTAATGTGTCTGTGTTTCCCTCATTGCAGACAGGATTTTACAAATTATACATTCAGAGCACAATTCTATCTCCTGGTTTAGAGCAGAATACAGATAAGTCTGCTTTTGTATAAGTATGTTGAAAACAAGAAGATTGTTAATCTCTTAAACTGATTGTAGTCTGCTAGAGTCCCAGTGGAATTGGATGGATCGACATAGACCATTAGTTTCAATGGGAATGAGCACGCATCCATATGATTTTATGACCTCAAAACTTCAGGGAAATCATAGCCTGGGTCAGTTTTAATTTTTGACAATATTAACAACAACAAATGACAATTCATTCAACAGTCACATTTGTGCAAAACACCCTAAAATACCTGCTCAAATAAAATAAGTATGGGATATCAAATTCCCAGTAAAGATCTAGTACAAACCAATGATTTTGAATCTTCCCTTAAGCGAAAGAACTGCAAATTTATACGACTCCATATGTTCTAACTACAGATGATGCACACGCGACCCTGTTATAAAAACCACATTACTTTCTATTCTAAACATGTATAGCGATATACAGCAGATGCATCTGACATTGAAAGCAAGGGCAATCAGTTACAGTGCAGAGAACAAAACTGACCACTACAGCTTAGAATACAACTGAAAGTACACAATAGATAATAATATCTGTGAGAACCAGACCATGTCATTATACATAATGAGACTTTCATACCATGACAACATTTTCGTCAAGTATATCTTTTCTGCCGTGATACCGTATGACAGCTTCAGAAAATGACTGAGAAAATATTAAAGACGATTATTACCTTTTCAGCTGCCTTCTTTGTGAGTAGCTAACAGTTGAAAATATCTCCTCCCGTCGGTGCGTGTAATTATATATTAAGGATGATGTAATTCCCTCCACACCAGTACTTATTAGCTAGCTAAAACCCTCCCACGTAACATTGCGTCATACTGAAGTTCCACACAAAACGAGGTTTACCATATTAGTTTCCTTCAGAACATTGCATCATACAGGGAATGTATACACACACACATAAAAAAAAAACATGTTTAGCTGAAGAACGATTTCACCGAGGATACTAATAATGCTTTTTTATTGCACTTTTAATTCAAGAAAGCAGCAATCATATACCAATATTTTGTTATGAATCTTTTTTGACAAAATTATAACTATTTCTGACTGGAATTCCGCAATTACTTACTCTTAATGTGAATATTAGTTTCCAAGCACAAGATGAATTTCAGCGTGTATCGCTTATTAACAGTGAATAGTTTCTAACTTTTGTGAATCACCGAACATGAAATGCTCTATCTCACGGTTTCGTTTTACTGTTTATATGTGTGTCACAGAGGTTCCTTAGCAATTGAAATAGGGTCAAAAATCTAAAGCGTAAAGGGAGACCCCCCATTCGAATGAAATCGAAATGATGAATCAAAGTTCAAATATTTCAACTATCTGACTCTTAATTTAGGTAAAATAAGCATGTACTCACCGATCTCAGTTCCTTCTCACCGCGTTACTTCTTCGTTAGGGCGACTCGTAATAAATGAAAAGACTGCTGAAGGAAATACCTTATGACGTCGCTTGATCTAAATAAATTACGGCACTCCTAGGCTTCTGATTGGACAATGTGGTGCCTCGCACGTGATCACTCCTTCTTCGCCGCATGACACACCCGCCTTTACAGACGGCGGCGGACAGAGACAAAGCAAAACGGATTTCAGCTGTGCCATGTCGCTAATAAAAATAGCATCTTATGTTAATTCATGGTCTCTGTGAATTAATTTATTAATATGCCGTACTTTTAAATGAAAAGCTAAAACTCGTATGCTTGGGAAATTTAGTAATATTTGAAATTTTTACCCTGTTTGGATTCCAATCTGATCTTAGTTTTAGGGCTGCTTGAAATTATATGACCTATTTATAAACAATAATAAAAAGGGCACGTGGTTGGAGAGTGGTTGGGTAGAGCCGTTCCATGCAGTTCAACATATGTGACGCCGTCTGCGGCGCAGTTTGAGCTGGGCTGGTACTTTTACAATTCTTTATTTTTAAAGCATCACTAAACACATTGTCTACGTGTGTCCAGTCTAGTACTTGCTCTTTATAAGAGGGCAGGGTGGGGATGGCGTCTTTTCACCCTTTTTTTTGGTACTGAAGAATGCACAGAATTTGCCGCAGAAATGTTTGTGAATATTAAATTAATGAAAGAAATCACTCTGTGACCCCGTTAGGGGGTATCTGGGTCACATGGCCCAAATTCCACGAACCCCTTAAGTCAAGTGAATGAAACAAGTACCAGCACTGGAAGAATAATTGATTTCTATTGCGTGTTGACTCAGTTTTTAGCCCGTATCTCATAAAAAACACTGTGGGCAGATCAATATCCGCAATTTTATTTATTTTTTGGGGTGCGTAGGCTACGTCGTTATTGACAAGTGGTATTGATGTGATAGTAATACAACAGAAACCACGCAGCTCAGTTTGTTATCTTGATTTTGTTGAGGAGTGGAAAAGAGTCGAGTTCAAGTACCGCAGTATTTGTTGCCCCTCTTGTGGTAAATAAATATATATAATATTAATAATAATTTTTTATTCATCAAATATATAATAAATTTTTATTCATTTTTTGGGGTGCGTAGGCTACGTCGTTATTGACAAGTGGTATTGATGTGATAGTAATACAACAGAAACCACGCAGCTCAGTTTGTTATCTTGATTTTGTTGAGGAGTGGAAAAGAGTCGAGTTCAAGTACCGCAGTATTTGTTGCCCCTCTTGTGGTAAATAAATATAGGGGCTACGCTGTAACAGTAATAGCGACCATGTAACGACGAAATGAATTATTATTATTGTAATAATTAATTAAAGAATTATTGTAAATTACAATAAAAAATAATGATCCATATAATTACATAACAATAATAACAGCATTGATATCTTGTATAGCGCATTCCATTTTAATACATTTCAATGAACTTTATAATTGGACTATATACCATATAATTGTTGGCGAAGGACTCAAGAGTAGGCCTAAATGATTCCTCTAGAGTAACCAGACGTGCGTACCCAGTAGTCCTTCGTTTGCATGTTAAGTATACCTCCACAAGGAACTGACAACGGATATTAACAGATATTAATAAACAATGAATATATATTTATTGATCCCATGGCAAACGCTCCATGAAAGGAGTGACACAACACGCTCAGATTCTATTCAATTGCAGTTGATGTGGAACCCCCCCCCCCCGTCCCCCCCCGATTTCCAAAGAAACGTTCCTGATGTCTGACAAGAAATAACCCCACTAATTGTTACTGAGACATTTACTTAGATTTAACATGCCAGGGACATAGCTACTGTACGTGGTGTAGTTACGTAAATTACTCGTATAAATCAACTCGGTAGACGTGTATTGGTAGTATTGTTCTTTGATATTAGAGCTTCTGCATGTCACTTGACAAATGAGTACCTGTCGTGAGACATCGTCATGCTCATGTCGCCTACTGCTAAAGCTTATGTAACAGTGAATTTGCCAGGTGTCCAAACTTTATATATAGACATGTCCATTATCTGTGGAAAGAACATGATTTTCCTGTTCACGAAAAAGGACGGGAACTTTAACGCACTGTATATTTTAAAACCCCTTTTTTAAAAGCAGGAAGGCGACCCTTGCCTCCTTAAAACTGACCATGTCGCCGTTGGAGGCCTTAAGGAACAGAGGGACGTTCCACAAACGAAAAATTCCTGATCGTTGTAGAATTGACACAGAGAGACGTTGAGCGTCTTGTCAGTTTCTGTTGAATGAAGGTGGCAACATTGTGTAAGGGGATGGGGGGGGGGGGGGTAGGGGTCTGTGAATCGTCTTCTTCACGCTTGACAAATTTTAAAAAGATGTCACACGACTTTAATTTGGTTATGTTATTCTTAAGCTATGGTCAGTATTTTTTTTTCATTTTGTCCAGACATGACCAATGCCAATCAAGACAAAGGTAGAGCATGGGAAGTATCTATGAAAAAAAAAAAAAAAAACAGGATTCTATTAAGTAGAGACATCGCCGCTGTCAGTGTGACACTGAGTTATGTGGACCAAAAAGATTCAATGTCACGAAGAAGAAGGTCAGTTATGTATGCAGACACCGAGAGAATGTATGAGGATTGAATCTGCTGTAGGTGCCTGTCACAGTTTTTTTTTTTTTTTTTTTTTTTTTTTTTTTTTTTGTAAGCAGTTACCTAAGTGGCCAAAAGAACCAGGATGTACCCAAAAACTGGTTATTACGGTGCACAAATGACCACAGGCTGCATGTCGCAGACAGGATGTACTATTTTTGGACACAATGTCATTTTTGCACAGTAGATTGTCCAGGTGTCCAGACAGTCTCATACATGTCCGTTATAATAATAATAATATTATTATTTTCACGTGGAAGTTTATACATTTAAAGGCTCTCTAACTACTATAAAGAAAAAAGTGTTATTATTGTTATACAACACGCATTATACAAGTAACTGGATGAGACCACTTATTTTGACAATAATCATCTTCACTTTAACATTACCTTATTTACAAAGAGTGATTTTCTGTCGACTTCATGATTGCTGCATTTAAGAAAGAAATGCATCTCATCTGCTTACTTATCTTTCCCAATTCAGACATTAAAATCATAAAATCCAAAATTAAAAAAAGTTCTTGCTGTCGTATTTACTTCGAAAATGCCACGCTAGGAAGACAATGGAGGTCTCGATATATGGCTAGACATCTAGAACTAAATTATTCTATAAGAAATGGTTTAAAAAGTCAAGGTGAGGGTCGAACAAAGATACTTGCATAAGGGAAAATTGCTTTTACCGGTTAAATGGCACATTTATTGTGTGAGCTATGTATTTATCATTATAAAATACATTAGAGTGTCTTTTACTTTTTTTACAAGTAGCAGTCATACTTATGGTCACTTCCAAGAAGTGTGCAGCCATTTGTGCAGTCTCATCACGTGTCTCAACCATGACTTTACAAAATTTTGGAGGCACACTTGATAAATAACTTTAATAATAGGCTTATTCCAAAGCGTCACGTTATATTATATAGATGGTTTGATGGTGAGTTAATATGTTTCCGCGAAATCAGTGCAATTGGGTCCCGCGGCATTCACCTGAAAGTTGTAATAATAACATACCTTTCACTCACCTATATAACATTAAGCAGTGAAATGATTGATGTTGTAATGTGTCCAACTATGCCCTGTCGCTCACCATGCCATTACATGAGGAAAAGGTAGATGTATAGTGACGCCGCCTTTGATGTAGGTATGTATGTAACTGCTCGTTTCCTTTGCATCAATTTATATTACTAGATATAATCAGGGCTGCAGGGGGTTGAACGTTGCCCCCCTCCCTCCCCTCCCACCAACCCACCCACCCCAAGAGATTTCCGACAAAGAATTTTTTTTAATCTATTTGAAGTTTTATGAAGTGTTAGCCTTTGGTAACGCATAGACTTTTGTTTTATATCAAAAGAAAACTAAAACGTTATGAAATCTTTGCAACAGGATGTTTCTTATAAAAAAAAAAATAGAAAAAGCCCAGATAAGATATTTAGAAAAACGACACGGAGCAGATTTTTTAACATCGCGCATGAAATCATTTCGATTCGCTTCAGTTGCAGCATTGCATCTATTCGTGATGCGTTAGGTGAGACGCATTTCGGTTCCTCTCCACCAGAGATCAGCTGGGAGATAGCCACGTTTTCTGAAATCTGAAATCCGGGCAAAAATTCTGCTCAGTACAGAAGTGTTCACGAATTAGATAAAGAATATCTAATAAAAATATTTTGGTGGCCCTGGTAGAGGGTATTTGTTAAGGAAGCGCTTTCTTTTTCAACTTGAAACAACAGTTGCGTTTTATTTCGCCAAAATTAACTATTTGTACTTCATGGTATTATGCATGACCTTCAAAAAACAAATAATTGTCTAAAGATTTCGAAAGCAAAGATGACGCTCGCGATCGGTGTTATCACGACACCCCCCAAAATCTACCACTAATTTTGCCTCATATGAAATACCTACTACAACACAAGGCAAAATATATACTGAATAATAATACTGATTTATTTGTAAATATAAGTGATAACAGTACAGGGAAATCTCTGATAAATACTGTTGTGGCTATTATTACCAAATTTTGTGCATGTNTTTAACGCACTGTATATTTTAAAACCCCTTTTTTAAAAGCAGGAAGGCGACCCTTGCCTCCTTGAAACTGGCCAGGTCGCCGTTGGAGGCCTTAAGGAACAGAGGACTGCTCGCACTTCCATAAAAAATTCCAGATCGCTGTAAAATTGACACAGTGAGACGTATTATCTATTTTTTTTAGTTGAATGAAGGTCGCAGCATTGTGTAAGGGGGGGGGGGGGGGAATCGTCTACTTCCCTCGTGATGGTGATTTCTTTTATCACGCGAGTGTCATTACATTGACAAAATTTAAAAAGATGTCACACGACTTTAATTTGGTTATGTTATTTTTAAGCCATGGTCAGTATTGTTTTTTTTTTTTTTTATTTTGTTCAGCCATGACCAATGCCAATCAAGACAAAGGTAGAGCATGGGAAGTATCTATGAAAAAAAAAACAGGATTCTATTAAGTAGAGACATCGCCGCTGTCAGTGTGACACTGAGTTATGTGGACCAAAAAGATTCAATGTCACGAAGAAGGTCAGTTATGTATGCAGACAATGAGATAATGTATGAGGACTGAATCTGCTGTAGGTCCCTGTCACAGTTTTTTTTATGGTAAGCAGTTACCTAAGTGGCCAAAAGAACCAGGATGTACCTAAAGACTGGTTATTACGGTGCACAAATGGCCACAGGCTGTCGCAGACAGGATGTACTAGTTTTGGACACAATGTCATTTTTGCACAGTAGATTGTCCAGGTGTCCAGACAGTCTCATACATGTCCGTTATAATAATAATAATTTTATTTACTGAGCGCGTAGAGGTTTATACATTTAAAGGCTCTCTAACTACTATAAAGAAAAAATACAGTGTTATTATTGTTATACAACACATTATACAAGTAACTGGATAAGACCACTTATTTTGACAATAATTATCTTCGTTTTAACATTGCCTTAATTACAAAATTGGCTACAGCAGCCACGCCCTGCGAAGAGGGTGGATTTAATAAGATGAAGTAAAGTTGTCTGAAATTGTCTGTTAAACCCAGCAAGTTCACCTCTGGTATAGAAACAAACGGTAATTATCTCTCGGCTTCATGATTGCTGCATTCAAGAAAGCAATGCATCTTATTTTCTTACTTATCTTTACCAATTCAGGTATTAAAATGATAAACCCCTAAAATAAGAATGAAAAAAGATCTTGCAGTCGACCTTTCCTTCGAAATGCCACGCTAGGAAGATAATGGAGGTCTCGATATATGGCTAGACATCTAGAACTAAATTATTTTATAAGAAATGGTTTAAAATAGTAAAGGTGAGGGTCAAACAAAGATACTTGCATAAGGGAAAATTGCTTTTACCAGTTAAATGGCACATTTGTTGTGTGAGCAATGTATTTATCATTATAAAATACATTAGAATGTCTTTTATATTATTTTTAAGTAGCAATCATACTTATGGTCACTTCCAAGAAGTGTGCATCTATTTGTGCAGTCTCATCACGCGTCTCAACCATGACTTTACAAAATTTTGGAGGCACACTTGATAAATAACTTTAATAATAGGCTTATTCCAAAGCGTCACGTTATATTATATAGATGGTTTGATGGTGAGTTAATATGTTTCCGCGAAATCAGTGCAATTGGGTCCCGCGGCATTCACCTGAACGTTGTACTAATAACATACCTTTCACTCACTTATATAACAATAAGCAGTGAAATGACTGATGTTGTAATGTGTCCAACTATGCCCTGTCACTCACCCTGCCATTACCTGAGGAAAAGGTAGATGTATAGTGACGCCGCCTTTGATGTAGGTATGTATGTAAACTGCTCGTTTCCTTTGCATCAATTTATAATACTAGATATAATCAGGGCTGCAGGGGTTGAACATTGCCCCCCCCCTCCCCACCCACCAACCCACCCACCCCAAGAGATTTTCGACAAATAATTTTTTAAAATCTATTTGAGATTTTATGAGGTGTTAGCCTTTGGTAATGCATAGACTTTTGTTTTACATCAAAAGAAAACTAAAACGTTATGAAATCTTTGCAACAGGATGTTTCTTATAAAAAAAATAGAAACAGCCCAGATAAGATATTTAAAGAAACGACACGGAGCAGATCTTTTTACATCGCGCATGAAATCATTTCGATTCGCTTCAGTTGCAGCATTGCATCTATTCGTGATGCGTTAGGTGAGACGCATTTCGGTTCCTCTCCACCAGAGATCAGCTGGGAGATAGCCACGTTTTCTGAAATCTAAATCCGGGCAAAGATTTTGCTCAGTATAGAAGTGTTCACGAATTAGATAAAGAAATATCTGTGAATATCTAATAAAAATATTTCGGTGGCCCTGGTAGAGGGTATTTGTTTAGGAAGCGCTTTCTTTTTCAACTTGAAACAACAGTTGCGTTTTATTTCGCCAAAATTAACTATTTGTACTTCATGGTATTATGCATGACCTTCAAAAAACACATAATTGTCTAAAGATTTCGAAAGCAAAGATGACGCTCGCGATCGGTGTTATCACGGCTGCGTGGCAGGTATTGGGCTGGATATAGTTCTCAGTGGAGGATTTAGGGTGGGAGTCAGGGGGGGTCCTGACCCCCCCCCCCCCCCCCTTCGCTTTCTGACAAAATCCCACTAATGTTGCCTTCTTCAAATTACAATTTTGACTAGCTGAGTCGTAGTTCTAAACCGTACCAAAGGGCACCGTTCACCCTCTAAAATACTAAAATTTCCGATGCCCTTCACCGGGCCCCGAAACCCACGTCAAGAGAGGGGGGAGGGTTGGCCTCGCATCTGTGGACCCCCTTCAAATTATCTTGGATCTGCCCCTGGTTCTGTTGAATTCAAAGAATGGTCTAAAGAGCGTATACCGGTGCAATAGTATGCATGACCTGCAGGGGTGATGTTGGTATATGGGTGTACTGCTTTGCCGAAAAACCGATCAAATGTGAAATACAAAGAGCCAGTAAAGACCGTGTTCACCCAGGACTGTTTTTTCTCTCTTTTCATTTCATTTTGTTTTCACACTTCCAACATCGTTGAACCAGAACGCTCGAAATAATAGTAAGACGTGTTTTTGAAATAATAAAGAACAAGGACAAAGAACTGTTCGAAACTTTGCAAACTCTTTTTTTATACTCTCTGCAAATACAAAGTTCGTTGTTGTTCTGGAAAATATAATTAACTGCACCAAACTGTGCGTCTAGTATAAGGTCTGTTAGATGAATGAATAACCATCCAAATAAGTGAATGAGTACATGGGTTTTTTTGCGTACCTGAACGCCTTTTCTTACTGAAATACCAATAATTTTACAGGAGCAGATCCAGGATTATTTACCCCCCCCCCTTGGCTTCGAGCTCGGGGTTCTTCATTTGGTATTTTAGAGGGCGAACGGTGCCATTTGGTACGGTTTAGAACTATGATTCAGCTAGTCAAAATTATGATTTTCAAGTGAGGACCATTGGTGTTTTTTTTCAGAAATCGAAGTGGGGGGGGGGGGGGGGTCAGGATTCCCCCGACATCCCCCTAAATCTACCACTAATTTTCCCTCATATGAAATACCTACTACAACACAAGGCAAAATGTATACTGAATAATAATACTGATTTATTTGTAAATATAAGTGATAACAGTACAGGGAAATCTCTGATAAATACTGTTGTGGCAATCATTACCAAATTTTTTGCATATAAATTTGATATAAAAGTATTAGGATCACATACAAGTAGCAATACTGCAATGCTCTGACTGTAAGGCATAATTAATATAAGTGCATGCCTGACAGGTGCTGGATACATGGGTACGATGTATTCCTTATTGTCCCATCATTTGCCCTGTATAGGGGAAAACCCGATATCCCAGAAACTCGCAAAATTCGCTTCCAGAAATACTGATAATGTACCGCCCTTAACGGCTACTATGTGCAACAATAAACCTTTCTTTTATATAAGATAATTATTTCGAACCGTATTTGAAACCTTTGGCTCTTCATTCCCACAGATTTTAGATCGATCTATCCCTGTGGGGAGTCTCACTAGATTACTGTCAGCTTGGCCGGCTTAAATGTCTGTCCCGCCTACTAAAAGCTGTAAAGGGGTAATTAACTACCGCGCCTGACAGCAATTTAGCGTAAACCCCCAGGGAGTTAGGTCGATCTAGATGGATCGATTTAAATCTATGGGAATGCACATATACGGATATTGAGCTTATGTTAACACATTATTATTATCGGTTATAAATAATATTTGAACTTGTAAAACCAAGCAAAAACAATAAAGAAGAGCTGATCTTCTGTGTAACTGTGCGACATCAGACGACATTTCAGAGGAAACTCTTCCATTCTCTCACAATTCACAACCTGCGGCAAAGTTGTTCGTTCCCAGTTGTCGTCTCTTGCGTGAGGTAATACGAGTATATGATATAAAAATACAATACAAAAGCGATCTTAAGGTCCTACACCTGAGAAAGCATTAACATGGAGACGTGGACGTCCTCTGGGTCGTCACCCTTGCGACCATGGTCGTTATTGTTTCCTGGAGTCTTTTTGAAGCGCGTCCCATGCCGCCTGCCCGTTATCTCCAGCAGTACAAAGGTGGTAGTGATGCATATCCCTTCCACCAACATAACGTAGCCGAGACTGTCGAGGCCGTACAGCTGGAACACTATTCCCACTATCCACTGATAAATGAACCCTCCCGCAGACCCCCCTATAAGCACCACGGCAAGCACCATCCCGGAGACCTGGATGTAGCGGTTCACCCACACCAAGGCACCCGGATAGACGGGCCCTATTGCCAGTCCGTACAGGCAATTTACGAACCAGAAGACACTGACGTTATTCCCGGCCTCAGTGCACAGAAGAATCCCCGCCAATAGCTGCCCGAGGACCACTGTTCCCAGGATAAAGGAAGGCTTCACCCATTTCGATATTAATGCACTGATGCCCCGCCCCCCCGTGTAACACCCCCAAAATATCGACACCATCAGGGAAGCCTCGAAGGGTTCTCTGTGCAGGGGGCCCTCCGTGATGTAGGCAAACATGAACTTATCCAGCGCCCACTCACCCCCGACGATGTGGATGTAGAAGAACAACATGAGCCCCAGGAGCTGGACTCCGAACACCGTGTCCCCTTTCGCGCACTTGCCAGATTGGAGCGCGGAACCGGAGTCTGTCGGTTTCTTGTCCGTTGGCTCTGCCGGTATTGCCGTGTGGTCGCCATATACGTTCCATTTGCACCTGTTCGACACATACTGAAGAACGAGGAAGGCTATGGCGGCAAGAACGGACATGATGCCGCCAATAGTGTATGCGTATTCGATCTGGGAATCATTGTTTGGAATGATTCTCTTCACCAGGTAAGATCCACTGACATTTAAAAATGTATTTGAGTTCGTCTGGTTATAAGCATACAGTGATTCGCCTGCGAATTTGTACGCCGTTGCACCTGATTCATGGGTCAATGAGCTATTGTTGGCCAGTGAGAGCGAAGTAGAAGTTACATTGTTGTTTTGAGGTTCCAACACGTGTGAATGTGTTCCTAGGAATGGCTCAATTATCTGTGGCCCGACTATGGCGCCGAGTCCGAAGGCAAGACTTGTTGCGAACACAGGGGCTGCCGCCTCTCTGCCCCACAACTGAAAGGATAGCTTCGAAGCAGCTGCAAGAAAAAATAAGACAAGTGGATAAATCTTTGGCAAATGGCTAGAATAGGGGCCATGATAAAAAAAGAGCAAGATGAGTTAATTTTCTGTGAGTAATACGTGATGCTTTAGAAAAAAGTTAAAACAATAGCCATAGATACGTATTGCACAATGCACGGTGAACCGTGTAAATTCTTTGATGTATGTACCAAGAAACATTCTTCCAAAGGTGGGCGGTAGGTTGAAGTAGTCTTCATTATTTTCACTCCTGAAGAAATTACTTTCTCTATATATGTATTTACAAGATCGAGAAAACTGAAGGGATGTTGTTTTATTGAGTGTAAAAACTTAGCTTTAACCTCATATGAAGTCTGAACCAAGCGGTAGTGCCAATCACCTCGCAATGCAACAATGTATCACATTTCTCGAGGCACCTCTAACACAATCTGGTTTCCCCCCACAATTCCTATAGGGACCACAAGGGGGTCACATGCGGCCAGCATGACTTGCTTTTAAAATAACTCAGAAGAGGGTCATCCCCTGCAAGCATTGCGTTTTTACTTGGTCTCCACGGTCGTAGACAGGAACTTTCAGACAATAGAGCTGTTCAGAAAGTATTTGCATCAAAGATTAAACAAATATAAAAGATAACCGACATTCTGCCAGCCCTCGGTTCATAGAAAACTGTTGACCCTGGGCAATTAGGAGCAAAGGCCGACAGACTCTGATCCCAGATAGCATGNCTAAATCTATGGGAATGCACATATACGGATATTGAGCTTATGTTAACACATTATTATTATCGGTTATAAATAATATTTGAACTTGTAAAACCAAGCAAAAACAATAAAGAAGAGCTGATCTTCTGTGTAACTGTGCGACATCAGACGACATTTCAGAGGAAACTCTTCCATTCTCTCACAATTCACAACCTGCGGCAAAGTTGTTCGTTCCCAGCTGTCGTCTCTTGCGTGAGGTAATACGAGTATATGATATAAAAATACAATACAAAAGCGATCTTAAGGTCCTACACCTGAGAAAGCATTAACATGGAGACGTGGACGTCCTCCGGGTCGTCACCCTTGCGACCATGGTCGTTATTGTTTCCTGGAGTCTTTTTGAAGCGCGTCCCATGCCGCCTGCCCGTTATCTCCAGCAGTACAAACGTGGTCGTGATGCATATTCCCTCCACCAACATAACGTAACCAAGGCTGTCGAGGCCGTACAACTGGAACACTATTCCCACTATCCACTGATAAATGAACCCTCCCGCAGACCCCCCTATAAGCACCACGGCAAGCACCATCCCGGAGACCTGGATGTAGCGGTTCACCCACACCAAGGCGCCCGGATAGACGGGCCCTATTGCCAGTCCGTAGAGGCAGTTCACGAACCAGAAGACACTGACGTTATTCCCGGCTTCAGTGCACAGAAGAATCCCCGCCAACAGCTGCCCGAGGACCACTGTGCCCAGGATAAAGGAAGGCTTCACCCATTTCGATATTAATGCACTGATGCCCCGCCCCCCCGTGTAACACCCCCAAAATATCGACACCATCAGGGATGCCTCGAAGGGCTCTCTATGGAGAGGGCCCTCCGTGATGTAGGCAAACATGAACTTATCCAGCGCCCACTCACCCCCGACGATGTGGATGTAGAAGAACAACATGAGCCCAAGGAGCTGGACTCCGAACACCGTGTCCCCTTTCGCGCACTTGCCAGATTGGAGCGCGGAACCTGAGTCTTTCGGTTTCTTGTCCGTTGGCTCTGCCGGTATTGCCGTGTGGTCGCCATACACGTTCCATTTGCACCTGTTCGACACATACTGAAGAACGAGGAAGGCTATGGCGGCAAGAACGGACATGATGCCGCCAATAGTGTATGCGTATTCGATCTGGGAATCATTGTTTGGAATGATTCTCTTAACCAGGTAAGATCCACTAATATTTGACAGTGTATTTGAGTTCGTCTGGTTATAAGCATACAGTGATTCGCCTGCGAATTTGTACGCCGTTGCACCTTTTTCATGGGTCAATGAGCCATTGATGGCCAGTGAGAGCGAAGTGGCAGTTACAGTGTTGTTGTTTTGAGGTTCCAACACGTGTGAATGTGTTCCTAGGAATGGCTCAATTATCTGTGGCCCGACTATGGCGCCAAGTCCGAAGGCAAGACTTGTTGCGAACACAGGGGCTGCCGCCTCTCTGCCCCACAACTGAAAGGATAGCTTCGAAGCAGCTGCAATAGAAAATAAGACAAATGGATAACTCTGTGGCAAATGGCTGGAATGTGGGCCATTACAAAAGAGAACAAAATGAGTTAGTAATATGTAATGCTTTAGAAAAAAATAAAACATCAGGCATGAAAAGTGACATAAAGGTGGACGGTAGTTTGAAGTAGTATTTATTATTTTCACTCCTGAAGAAATGACCTTATATATGTGTATTCACACAGAGCACGGGGTCGAGAAAATGTTGTTTTATTGAGCGTCAAAACTGAACTTTAAATAGAATAACTATTCAAACACAGACTAAAAATGAATCCAGCGCCAGTGCTAATCACCTCGCAATGCAACAATGTAACACATTTCTCAAGGCACCCCTAACACAATCTGGTTTCCGCTCAACTGTTATAGGACCACAAGGGGGTCACATGCGGCCAGCATGACTTGTTTTTGGAATAACTCAGAAGAGGGACATCCCCTGCTAGCACTGTGTTTTAACTTGGTCTCCACGGTCGTTGACAGGGACTTTCAGACAATAGCGCTGTTCAGAAAGTATTTGCATCGAAGATTAAACAAATATAAAAGATAACCGACATTCTGCCAGCCCTCAGTTCAGAGAAAACTGTTGACCCTGGGCAATTAGGAGCAAAGGCCGACAGACTCTGATCCCCCCTCGATGCGGTACACAAACAGCTCGGAACGCGTGAACGTGCAGGTTGCCAAAGGAGGGGATGCTTGGTGGTTCGAGGTGTGTGTTTGTGGGGGGGCGGGTTTCTGGCCATGCCCCCCCCCCCCTTGGAAACCCCTCTTACCCAATCTTGCCCACCCTCACGCTGATAAGCAAAATAAACACGTGTAAGGAGGCACTTCCGTATAATTTTCCCATTTAAGTTTTCTTCATATTACACTATAAACTCGTCTCCTAATTCATATTAGCCTACCGAAGCAGAACGTTTTATTCCTTGTTCTCACCTATCCCAAGCAAACTTTCAGGCTCCATCTGCATTTGTGCTTGCAATTCTTACCCCCCACTGAAAATACAGCGCCAATTCAATAGATTCAAACGGACATTTGACCTTGACCCCGAAGACTGGGTAGTTTTTTTGTTTTTTTTTTCTAACTCTGGGTTTACCGTCTAGTGGAAAGTTTGCGCCCGCACATTGCTTCAAATCACACGTGGGGCACGTGTACCGGAACATGTTATCTTCCCTGCACATACAGACTATTTGACCTAGGATTTACCTGCTATCAATCATATAGTAACTGTCCACAAACCTGTTTACTTTTAACCACCTATGTTAAGTGTTTGGTAAACCTACACGCACAGTCCACAGGAGAGATATTTCAATTTATCTTCTTTTTCAGGGGCTTTTAATGTAAACTTTTAAAATTATAGTTAAACTTGTGCATTATATTTGCCCATTCATAGTTTTTCCCGTATATTTTACTTTAATTAAAAAAAATAATTAAGGCGTTAAATAAACGACAAAAAAGTATCAAATCACAATAATTTTTTCTCTGTCACAATAAAAAAGTTACCTGATATCAGAAGACCCTCCGTGATGCCCTGAATGCTAAACATCGCCATCAGGGTCCACCACACTGTGCACCACGGAATAACGAAGGACCCAAGAGCTTCAAGAGTCGGTCCCAGAGCTAAGAGGGCAAGGAGAGACCCGTTGAAGCGATCGCAGAGGAAGCCGCCGCCAATGGCGCCAAAGAACATGCCGATTCCACGCCCCACCACGGCACGTGAGATTTCCTCCCAGTTGCTGTTCGTGCGAACACGTAGATCGGGCAGGGCGGCCCCGGAGAAGCACGTACAGAGACCCTGCAAGTTAAAATAACTGACTAGAATCGCATTTCTTTGAAGCAACACTCATTTTTGTTGTCAAGCCCGGAGAAACACGTTCAGAGACCCTGCAAGTTAAAATGACTGACTAGAAACCCATTAAATTTCCTCTCTTTTGTTGTTAAGCCAACGCTTGCGTAAATGACACATTTAACGATCAGTTACTGTTTAATTTAAAACTGTTTATTTTTAAATTAAAACAAGCCAGATGTCAAGTCAGCGCCACGGGACAAGAGCGGAAGATATACTTTTGAAGCTAGACACCCGTGCATGAATTTCAACAGCTTCAGCTCCACCTGTGAACATAGTGAACATAGCTTCTTTTTCACCAGCGCGATGCAGCAATGTGCGCATCATAAAATGTAAGGTTAACGTGAGACTGGCATCCAGTTGCTTGGATATAAATTGAGTTAATGGTAAGATTATCGCATTAAAAAAAGGCAATTGGCATAAATAAATGAATAGATATAGTAAGAAAGCGATCAGCTGTGCGCTTCTGTCTCAGCTCTAAGTGAAATATCGATACCGGTATCAGTTTCTTTATATATAAAACATAGATGATATTAATGGAAATTCAGCTCATTAAGAATCTGCGCCATTTTGCAGTGCATGAATTTCAACAGCATTACGAGCAGAACTGAACGCGTCCTTGTGAACGACATGTTTGGGTGTACAGTGACCACCTGCCCCCCCCTGCCCCCCCCCCCATCCCCCATCCACCTCAACCGGCCACAATCCACTGGCATTTGATTTGAACAACAGACCAAGGAAAACAAAAAGAAAATTCATGCATTCACAACGATAAAACATAAATTGAATTAAGGAAATTTATGATAAAAATCAAATCGTCAAACTTACTGCGTGGCATCTTTTAGAATGTTTATAACCGACATAGAAACTGAAAGTATTATTGCTATAAGTTTTTCTTCGCAAATTGTTTCACATTGCATTTGAACTTCCAAACAATATACAGAAATAATTCAATATCAAGGATGTATGGAGGAGTGGCGATATAAAGTACGATCCCTTAGCTAACACTGCATAAGTGTGCTTTGACCTTTCGGAATTTTCTTCTCGATTATTACTTGCCACCAAAATAGCTTTTCTTTTAGCAAGCAAAAAATAAGCGAGGAAATATCCAGTTTTCCTCATAGCTTTACATGGATAACACTATTATGTATGGTAATACATTCTTAATAACACGTATGTTGTACCAACTCATAGGAGCAACAGTGAAATCACCGAGCAGAATACCGGATCCTGCTCTTCTCTCTGACCTGAAGTTTAGGTTGGCGTCTTATTGGCGTCCAGTTTGATTTTTCGCGTGGTTTGATGTTTACGAAACATGGACGCTATCTTAAACAACTATCACCTGGGTAGATTTAGGGTAGGGCGCTGAATTTATCTGGGGCAGTAGATGTCACGATGTAACGATGTAACTTTTGGCCAGTGAGTTCGGTAAAGATATCATTTTCCACAGACAATATACTACCCCTCCCAGGGGAGGACCCAGAGATATTTTCTGACAATCTTCCAAATTATCTTTATTACCATCCTCCATTTTGACCGTCTTCCGACAGAAAAAAAAATAGATACCTGTCAATGTAAACTTAAAAGTCTGACCGTCTTCAAGAAGACCCAGAAGACGGCCTTAATCCGCCCCTGCCTCCTTCAAATCGGTAGCAAACAAAACAGAACAAAACTTCGCCTCTCTCCTAATCTCTAAAGTAGAGCATATGCCCCGAGAGATCTTGTGACCAAACGAATATGCCAAGATTCCAAAGAACTTTATCCTCACTTCACCTAGAGTTCTCGCTCAGTTCTCGTGCACTTACACCAGTCAGTGACTTATTGTGATCTATAATTGCTCTATACCACTCCGGTAGCTTCTCGGTGTTTCTACATCATTCATTTCGGAATCACGATCGACCTTATGATGAGCATGCTCTTAGCCGAAGGAGTATCCGTGTCTTATCTATTTTTACAGTGTGTGTGTGTGTGTGTGTGTGTATGTGTTTGTGTATGTGCGTGCTTGTGTGTATATGTGCGTGTGTGTGTGTGTATGTGCGTGTGTGTGTGTGTGTGTGTGTGTGTGTGTGTGTGAGAGAGAGAGAGAGAGAGAGAGGTATAATAATAATAATAATAACAGTAGTAGTACTACTACTAGTAGTAGTAGTAGTAGAATTATAATTATTTTCAAGTAAAAGTTGGATGTTATGTATTTTTTAAAAATTAAAATTGTTATAATTATAAAAGAGATATAAAGGGCATTACAAAAACTGCGTTCAATCAAAATGTATGTATCACGTAGTTCATAAAATACATGTTCTTAAAAGTATACATGTCCCATTTTCTATGTCAACATATCCTTCACATCTACTCATCTTTCTGATAAACGATAAACCCCCTTAGATAACAATATCTGGTGTTGATTTTTCTTTCTAATAAAATGTACAGGAAGACATGTAGCCTACATACACACACATACACACACACACACACACAGATAAACCCTGTACAACCGCATGGTAGCGTCCAATGCACGATGGAGGTGCGTCTGATTCCAAGAAATAAGTTAATTTCTTGGCAACCTTGTTTTTCTTTTCTGGGAAATATGTACACCCTAGCAGAGAGAAAGAGAGAAACAGAGGGCAGGAGAGAGAATTCATAGCGAACCGTATAGTTTAAATCGTGCTTCACCCTGTACCGGCACATTTTGAGAGGTCCTAACAGGATTCACTGTCTTTTGCAAGTTATCAATGTGTTCGTGTCCTGATGTTTATTTATATTTATTTTTTAAAAATTGGCCGAGTCGAAGGCGGAGGTTCCATTAAACCGACTGGTTTATGTAATAATCAGGCTATCAAGTTGGCCATCTCTCTAAGTGTACCGAAACAAGCTACAGCGCTTAAGTATACCTATCGCCCTGAAAAGGGACAGAGCAACGGCAAGAGAAAGTCCACTGAAAGCGGCGATGCAAAAGTGTCACCGCCAGTCCTTGCATGTCCGAGGTGACGGCGAGAGAACGCTGATGATAAAGTGGAACTTCAGGTGTGACCTCTCCACACCCCGTGTTTATACTAGTCCAGGTGTGTCACCGCGCGGGGTCCAGTGTTAAAGGTTAGGGACCATTCCCAGACCCGTGGATCGATCTATCTCCAAGGGGATTCTCGCTAAATTTCTATCAACTTCAGCGGCTTAGATGTCTCACACGCCTACTGAAGCCGCTAGGGGGTAATTAATTATCGTTTAACAGCTTCAGTAGGCGTGCCAGACATCTAAGCAGCTTAAGCTGAAAGCAATTTAGCGAGAAANAACGTATGCTTGCTATCTGGGATCCCCCCTCGACGCGGTACTCAAACAGCGCGGAGCGCGTGAACGTGCAGGTTGCCAAAGGTGGGGGGGGGGGGGGGGGTTCTGGCCATGCACCCCCTGGGAAACACCTCTCACCCTCACGCTGATAAGCATGATGAACATGTGTAGGGAGGCAATTCCGAATAATTTTCCGATTTAAGTTTTCTTCATATTACAGTAGAATAATTAAAGTCGTGTCCTAATTCATATTAGCCTACCGAAGCAGAACGTTTTATTCCTTGTCCTCGCCTATTCCAAGCAAACCTTCATGCTCCATCTGTATTTGTGCTTGCAATGCCTACCCCCACTGAAAATACAGGGCCAATTCAATAGATCCACACGGGCATTTGACCTTGAGCCCGGTGACTGGAATTTTTTTTTCTAACGCTGGGTTTACCGTCTGGTGGAAAGTTTGGGCCAGCATACTGCTTCAAAACACACGTGGGGCACGTGTACCGGAACATGTTATCTTCCCTGCACATACAGACTATTTGACCTAGGATTTACCTGCTATCAATCATATAGTAACTGTCCACAAACCTGTTTACTTTTAACCACCTATGTTGAGTGTTTGGGTAACCTACAGCCACAGTCCACAGGAGAGATATTTCAATTTATCTTCTTTTTCAGGGGGCTTTTAATGTAAACTTTTAAAATTATAGTTAAAACTCTTGTGCATTATATTTGCCCATTCATAGTTTTTCCCGTATATTTTACTTTAATTTAAAAAAATAAAGCGTTAAGTAAACGACAAAAAAAGGTATCAAATCACAATATTTTTTTCTCTGTCACAATAAAAAAGTTACCTGATATCAGAAGACCCTCCGTGATGCCCTGAATGCTAAACATCGCCATCAGAGTCCACCACACTGTGCACCACGGAATAACGAAGGACCCAAGAGCTTCAAGAGTCGGTCCCAGAGCTAAGAGGGCAAGGAGAGACCCGTTGAAGCGATCGCACAGGAAGCCGCCGCCAATGGCGCCAAAGAACATGCCGATTCCGCGCCCCACCACGGCACGTGAGATTTCCTCCCAGTTGCTGTTCGTGCGAACACGTAGATCGGGCAGGGCGGCCCCGGAGAAACACGTACAGAGACCCTGCAAGTTAAAATAACTGACTAGAAACGCATTAAATTTCCTTGAGGCAACTCTCTCTGTTGTTGTTAAGCCAACGCTTGCGTAAATGACACATTCAACGATCAGTTACTGTTTAATTTAAAACTGTTTATTTTTAAATTAAAACAAGTTAAAACAAGCCAGATGTCAAGTCAGCGCCACGGGACAAGAGCGGAAGATATACTTTTGAAGCTAGTCACCCGTGCATGAATTTCAACAGCTTCAGCTCCACCTGTGAACATAGTGAACATAGCTTCTTTTTCACCAGCGCGATGCAGCAATTTGCGCATCATAAAATGTAAGGTTAACGTGAGACTGGCATCCAGTTGCTTGGATATAAATTGAGTTAATGGTAAGATTATCGCATTAAAAAAAGAGGCAATTGGCATAAATAAATGAATAGATATAGTAAGAAAGCGATCAGCTGTGCGCTTCTGTCTCAGCTCTAAGTGAAATATCGATACCGGTATCAGTTTCTTTATATATAAAACATAGATGATATTAATGGAAGTTCAGCTCATTAAGAATCTGCGCCATCTTGCAGTACATGAATTTCAACAGCATTACGAACAGAACTGAACGCATCCTAGTGAACGACATGTTTTGACTGTACAGTGACCATCTGCCCCCCTCCCCTCTCCCCCCCCCCCCCCCCACCATAACCGGCCACAATCCATTGGCATCTTTGCCTGTAGGTTCCGCTAATTTACAACTATTTTGTTCATAAGTTTGAATTGAACAACAGACCAAGGAAAACATAAAGAAAATCCTTGCGTTCACAACGATTAAACATAAATATAATGTAAGAAATTTATGATAAAAATCAAATCTTTAAACTGACTGCGTGACATATTTTCAAATATTTATAACCGACATAGTACCCGAAAGCAATATTGCCATATGTTTTTCTTCGCGAATTGTTTCACATTGTATTTGAACTTCCAAACAATATTCAGATAATAATTAAATTTCAAGGATGTGTGGATGAGTTGGATTGAAGGGTGTCGATATGAAGCACTATCCCTAAGCTAATACTGCATTAGTGTGCTTTGACCTTTCGGAATTTTCTTCTCGATTATTACTTGCCACGCCACCAAAATAGCTTTTCTATTAGCAAGCAAAAAATAAACGAGGAAATATCCAGTTTTCCTCATAGCTTTACATGGATAACACTATTATGTATGGTAATACATTCTTAATAACACGTATGTTGTACCAACTCATAGGAGCAACAGTGAAATCACCGAGCAGAATACCGGATCCTGCTCTTCTCTCTGACCTGAAGTTAAGGTTGGCGCCTTATTGGCGTCCAGTTTGATTTTTCGCGTGGTTTGACGTTTACGAAACATGGACGCTATCTTAAACAACTATCACCTGGGTGGATTTAGGGTAGGGCGCTTAATTTATCTGGGGCAGTAGATGTCACGATGTAACGATGTAACTTTTGGCCAGTGAGTTCGGTAAAGATATCATTTTCCACAGACAATATACTACCCCTCCCAGGGGCGGACCCAGAGATATTTTCTGACAGTCTTCCAAATTATCTTTATTACCATCCTCCATTTTGACCGTCTTCCGACAGAAAAAAATAGATACCTGTCAATGTAAACTTAAAAGTCTGACCGTCTTCCAGAAGACCCAGAAGACGGCCTTAATCCGCCCCTGCCTCCTTCAAATCGGTAGTAAACAAAACAGAACAAAACTTCGCCTCTCTCCTAATATCTAAAGTAGGGTATATGCCCTGAGAGATCTTGTGACCAAACGAATATGCCAAGATTCCAAAGAACTTTATCCTCACTTCACCTACAGTTCTCGCTCAGTTCTCGTGCACTTAAACCAGTCAGTGACTTATTGTGATCTATAATTGCTCTATACCACTCCGGTAGCTTCTCGGTGTTTCTACATCATTCATTTCGGAATCACGATCGACCTTATGATGAGCATGCTCTTAGCCGAAGGAGTATCCGTGTCTTAACTATTTTACCGTGTGTGTGTGTGTGTGTGTGTGCGTGTGTGTGTTTGTATGTGCGTGCTTGTGTATATGTGTGTGTGTGTGTATGTGTGTGTGTGTTTGTGTATGTGCGTGTGTGTGTTTGTATGTGCGTGCTTGTGTATGTGTGTGTGTGTGTGTGTGTGTGTGTGTGTGTATGAGAGAGAGAGAGAGAGATAATAATAATAATAATAATAGTAGTAGTAGTAGAATTATAATTATTTTCAAGTAAAAGTTGGATGTTATGTATTTTAATTGTTATAATTATAAAAGAGATATAAAGGGCATTACAAAAACTGCGTTCAATCGAAATTTATACATGTATATCACTTAGTTCATAAAATAAAAGTACTTAAAAGTATGCTATCCGCGTTTAAACATGTCCCATTTTCTATGTCAACATATCTACGTCTACATTTTCTACGTCTACTCATCTTTCTCAATTCAAATAAACGACAAACCCCTTAGATAACAGTATCTGGTGTTGATTTTTCTTTCTAATAAAATGTACAGGAAGACATGTACACAGTGGTCTATTTTACAGGCCAGACATTTTGAACTAAATAATTTGATTAGAAATAGTATAAAAAATCGAATCCAAGTACAAGAACGAGTCAAACGATGATTTGTGAGTAGAATATTTTTTCCCGAGGAAAATTTGACTTGGCCGGAAAATAAAATCGATATAAGTTAGGTTGCCAATTTTTGAATTTGAAAATTATTCCTTTATGTTCTCTACACACACACACACATACACACACACACACACACACATCCAAAAACACAGACACACACGCACATACACACACAAACAAACATCCAAAAACACAAATACACACACATATCCAAAAAACATACACACATACGAGTACACACACACACACATACACACACACACACACACACACACACACACACACACAGATAAACCCTGTACAACCGCATAGTAGCGTCCAATGCACGATGGAGGTGCGTCTGATTCCAAGAAATAAGTTAATTTCTTGGCAACCTTGTTTTTCTTTTCTGGGAAATATGTACACCCTAGCAGAGAGAGAGAGAGAGAGAGAGGGCAGGAGAGAGAATTCATAGCGAACCGTATACTTTAAATAGTGCTTCACCCTGTACCGGCACATTTTGAGAGGTCCTAACAGGATTCTCTGTCTTTTGCAAGTTATCAATGTGTTCGTGTCCTGATGTTTATTTATATTTATTTTTAAAAAATTGGCCTAGTCGAAGGCGGAGGTTCCATTCAACCGACTGGTTTATGTTATAATCAGGGTATCAAGTTGGCCATCTCTCTGAGTGTACCGATGCAGGCTATATCGCTAAAGTATACCTATCGCCCTGAAAAGGGACAGAGCAACGGCAAGAGACAGTACCACTGAAAGCTGTGATACAAAAGTGTCACCGTCAGTCCTTGCATGTCCGAGGTGACGGCGAGAGAACGCTTATGATAAAGTGGAGCTTCAGGTGTGACCTCTCCACACCCCGTGTTTATACTACTCCAGGTGTGTCACCGCGCGGAGTCCAGTGTCATAGGTTAGGGACCATTCCCAGACCCGTGGATCGATCTATCTCCAAGGGGATTCTCGCTAAATTTCTATCAACTTCAGCGGCTTAGATGTCTCGCACGCCTACTGAAGCCGCTAGGGGGTAATTAATTATCGTTTAACAGCTTCAGTAGGCGTGCCAGACATCTAAGCAGCTTAAGCTAAAGCAATTTAGCGAAATCCCCCCTCGTTAGATCGATCTAGGTATGGGAACCCAGTATAAGGGTACCACTAGTTGTTTGATGTGTGTTCGTGTGTCCTCTTTTACTTAGATTAACATGTGTTATTGTTGTATTACATAATCATTAGGTCTTAACCTCTGTTTAATTGCTGGAACCAATACAGTTTGATTGATTAAGAAATGGCTAACACTGGTGACACAAGCTGGTGGCATAACTAAGGCCAGTGATACAATTTTCTTGTTAGTCCATCAGGCACTGACAGGCATTGCTCTGGAAATTAAATAATAAATAAACAAATATAAAAGGATGGACAAATGTTTGTACAAGGAAGCTTGAAGTAGCCGTTTATACTGTCCATCAGTAGTGTAGTGTCCCAAGGTAGGGGTCTATTTTATTTATAAATTTATTAATCTTTTTGTTGGGAAGGGGGGGGGGGGGGCAAAAGAAAAAAACATGAGACCTAAATTTCCACCGAGTAATGATATGTTGTTTCACGCCGGAGCGTGCCTTCCGAAGAATTACAGACACAATCCAAGTTTGTAAGTCTAATTTTAGATTTTGTGTCTTACGTAATATACCCCACGACTGGAAAATACTGGATATTTACTTGATGTCTGCTATTCTATGGTTTTGTTGGGAATGCTTGCTTAACACTGTTTCTGTTCCATCTCTACTGCTCATTAATTAATCTATTGATATGGGTGTGATTATTATTTTCTGATTTGAAAAGATATTATGCTGGTAATCATAGGCATACACAACACTTTTCGCAAATTTAACGGTGAATAGAAACTGGGATAAGTTATTTAGTTTTCTCATTTGTCGTTATTTTTTTGTTTGTTTTTAAACCCGCACTGTATCTGCTAATGAGTCATGCTGACAGTGAATGTTATTCACAGCTGAAGAGAGCGTTTTAAATCATGCGACTGCCGTATCTTTTTGAATCACTAGTTCCCATTTTTCGTCAAGTGTTTTCCAAACATTAACTTTTCCTATCTTTCTTTACCTGAAAATCAGCATGCAAAAGAAAAAATAAAGCCAATAGCGAAAATGCTTGTGTACAATGTAACACACACAGTGCATTTACGAAAAGATCACATTGGATTTTCTTGTTCACTGGAGTTAAAAAAACAGCACAGACACAAAAGTCAGGGTGTCAGCTTTTTCATCGGTGTGTTTCTCTTGGGTTCCTGGCCCGACGGAGATAAAATGCAAATGTTTTTCTGACCCCAAGTCACCCGCTTTCACGCTGATCGTAAACTAACCCCCTACAACGCACGGTACTATGGTATCATACAGCTAGATTTGCCATTGTGTTGTTTTCGACGTAGAAACATATTACGGCAAATTATGATCTACTTTTTAACCTTCACCTCAACACTGCCACGAGGGAATCAGCGGATCTTGCAAGATGATAAGGGGGGGTCATTTTGCATTCATGTGCATAAATGACTATATATAGTAACTGTAAACACTGCAAAGTCGACCGATTCTGAACAAATCAATAAGCCATCTTTTTTCGTACGTCTTTTTAAACCAGTGACAACCGGTTCTAGTTTGCCGCAACGCTGTGCACTGCCAAGGCTCAAAACCTTCCACGAGCAAGGCGCAATCTAATAATTATTTGGAGTTGTCTTTTTAACCACAAGCACACACAGATTACTGTTTTGAAATTTGCCAGTGGTGTAATCTTTAGAGCAAACAGAAGGACCTATAAACGCTGAGCTAACTTACAACATTGATTCTACTTACATGGCACAGGTAACCGTACGTTAGAGCTGTCTGCAGAATTACCCGACGACGGAACGCTCGCTCGGCGCTTCTTTCTGAGGTCTTCTTCGATGAAATTTCATCCTGTGCTTCATTTTCTTTCCACTGGGCCATAGGTTCATTGGCTTCATTATCCCTATCAGTACTGTCCTCTGCTTTCCCCATGTTATCGGCATAGACGTTTTAGCACAGGGAAATCGATGAATACAGACTGCGATGCATACTCTGAGTTGTGCGCTAGATTTGCAGTCAGCTGGCGCCTTATAAAGGAAAATACGGGGGTCGCACTGCCGGTTTTTGCAAGTAGTATCCTTACTACAGCAGCTTCGTCCAACTGATTAGGGTATCATTAGTTTTTATTTATCGTAACGTAGGAACGGTTGTCACGTTGTGGTGGCAGTGCATGCACGTGCGTGTTGAAATAACGTGCGCTGCTGACGTATTTCCTTAACGACGACGTTTCGTTGTTGCCATGGCATTTCTAGCGGTACTCGAATCAAAAAGAGAAGCGACTGGCTGAGGGAAATATGACATGGCAAATTAAGGTGAACTCTGTATTTTTAGCGTTCACATTTCAGATGAAAATGGAGTCGCTGAATCAATCAATCAATAACTCATGTTGTAATATCACACTTTCGAGAGAATGACTCTTTTATTACATTTGTCAGAAGTCTTAAACATAATACGAAACGCCAATTATACCTAATTACCGAGTTTATCTGAATGAGTTCATGTCGACGGATTACGAAGGCACTCTTTGCACGTATTTGATTTTTGTGATTAGCATCGTCGAACAGGGTAAACTGGCAGCGACGCAAATTATGTAGACATTTGTCTGCCAGCGGTTTGCTTTTCTGTGCAGTATGAGGAAAGGTCAGGAGGGATATATAGACCTACAATAATCAAACATAGTCGTGCTGATAGGGCCTTCTGATCAGCCAGGTGATACTGAAACTCTTTGCGCGATAAATTTTAGGTTTCATTGGCTGTAGAAAAGACTGGATTCGCACGCCACCCTTAATTTCAACATGAAGGGTTTGGCAGGTACAAAACAAGGTAGCAATCATTTCAAAGGGTTCACCCAAGCTTCTGATTTTATTCATTGGGGGAAAGGATGGGTAGGCCTCCCCCCTCGCCCCCCTTGCCTCCCTCCTTACAGGTCGATACTGCCAAACGACAACCTTGCTTTATGACAAATATGTGTTGTTTTTACATGGATAGTAGGGGTTGTTTTTTTACATTGTTCGAAAGGAAAGACTCGACAGCATAATGTTTTTTTAACTTGAGACCTAAACATTACTTAGTACAAACACCTGCTAACACGTAACTACTCAAACACACACATACTACCATGCAGTTCAATTACTGATAACTACACTTTGCGTCTATATTTCAGCATTTCCATGTATAAATAAAATTAATAAATAGATAGACACGGCGTTAAGTCGACACCCATTATTTTCTAGCACAGAAAACATTCAGATTTCGTTGGAAGAGAAGAGTCGATGATTCAAAGGCTTTCTGAAAGTTTTATGTTTTATTAGAGCTTTAGTTTATGAAAAAAATGGAAGTGGAACTGTGGACCAATTTTCTCTGTTATCACGTCTGCGAATTTAGAGAAATTATGCTACAATTGAGGTAGGAATGCTGCAGCACAACAAAAAAATACGTGTGACATAATTGCTTGACGGGCCCATTTTAGAATCTATAGCCCTGTATCGGTTTCTAGCAATTATGGCAACAGATCTAGACGCAATCGCAACTTCTGGTTGGCAGCTCGTTTATCAGACTGTTAAATAACTAAAGCAAAGTCACAAAACAAAAACTATTTTGGGGAGCTTTGAAAATTATCAAGCCAGCCTCTACTACTTCACAAAGTTGTTCTTTTGAGAGCCCCAAGCAAGTTGAAAACAGTATGGTTTTACTATTATCTGGAAATTGGGATCCAAATGTGTCACCAGATTTTTTTTTTTTTTTTTTGAAAAAAAAGGAAAAAAAAACAGACCTAGTTTGCCAAGCGTGACAACGAAGTCGAACACAATTTCAAACATGAAAACTAATCTACTTTCTGCAGACAATTTTGATAATCAGTAGGCTTACCAACAATGGATATAGTTATTTGTAATACGGCACTTTTAGGTTAAGGCGTAACGGTTGATGAAAAACAATTACATTGGTGAAACATCTTTTTTTCTCATCACTGTTTTTAGAATGTTTGTTAGTCTGGATCAAGGCCTTAAGCTGACAGATAGCAATGTCATGCCAAATAAATTTTAAAAAACAATGCATTCATTCATTCAATCTGTTTCATGCTATATTGAATTACGAGCAAAATCAAGATGTCTTGAAGGACGCGGACAACGCACCATAGCCTTAAGGCAGAAGATCTACTGGTGTCTTCTACCAAGCAGCAAAAATTGCCCCAGAGAAATAGTTGTTATGTAATGTAACACTGTATTTCCATGCAGTGAACAAATATTAACGGTTCTTTCTAGTAAACATTTACATAAATCTCTACCGCTACGGGCTGTATATACAACCACAAAGACAACGGACTTACTGATCTGCATCAAGTTTTTTGACATAAGCCAAAATGAAAACATTGAATACTTTGTTCTGGAAGAATGTCTGAAGGACACAGGTGGGGGGGGGGGGGGGGGAAAAGT